TCAAGACAGACAGTTCGCACCGAAGAACCTAGGTCCTTAGGCCCGTGGAGCAAGCAAGCCGGCACCCAGGGTCAGGTCTCCGGTTCTTCTTGGCCGTCTTGGGTGAAGATGATCCCAGCAGAGCAGATGGTAATCTGTAATGGAGACAATATATGCAATTATTGGTAACTCAGCAGCACAATTTTACGGATTGTCCGTTGTATAATGGATGTTGTTTGCACTTTTCGTCCTGACCTCAAGGCTGGAAGGATTCAGGACCCCTGTGGCAGGAGCAGTCTGAGACTAGGCCAAGGCAGGTGCAACACAGCTTTATAGTCACTCCCTCCTTGGAGGATTGCTGAGTCGCACCCAGTTGGAAAGGGCCTGGGTCTTCTCCTACTCACAAGTAGTCCAGGGCAGCCAAGCTGGATGGAAGGATTCAGGACCCCTGTGGCAGGAGCAGCAGCATGAGTTGGAAGAGACCTCATGGGCCATCCAGTCCAACCCCCTGCCAAGAAGCAGGAATGTTGCATTCAAATCACCCCTGACAGATGGCCATCCAGCCTCTGTTTCCAAAGAAGGAGCCTCCACCACACTCCAGGGCAGAGAGTTCCACTGCTGAACGGCTCTCATTAGTTTTCAACCTGTGGGTCCCCAGACATCTTGGCCTTCAACTCCCAGAAATCCTAACAGCTGGTAAACTGGCTGGGATTTCTAGGAGTTGTAAGCGAAAAAAACATCTGGGGACCCACAGGTTGAGAACCACTGCTGTAGGGGATGGGATGGTTCATTAACGGGTTGGTTGTGATGTTATTAAAATAAAAAAGTGATTTATTTGATAAATATCTCATAAGATGTTAAGACTATTTACAAAGGAAGATATCCTGAAATAGTACCACAGGTCTTTGTGCATTACTCGTTTAGGTGATTATTACATGGTGAAGAAACTTTTGGAAGAGAATTGCGCTGGTGATATGAACATAAATTGTGTAGATGTCCTAGGAAGAAATGCTGTTACTATAACTATTGAAAATGAGAATCTAGATATACTACAGCTTCTTCTGGACTATGGTTGCCAGGTACTGTGAAAGCTCATTTATTTTTTAAAGTCTGTTTAGGAGGAAAAAAATAATTCCATCTTTTAAAATTTAAAAATATGTAATTGTGTGCAGTTCATTGTTATTCCTTTCATATTTTTAGTCCACAGATGCACTTTTGGTGGCGATTGACTCAGAAGTTGTGGGAGCTGTGGATATACTACTTAATCATCGACCAAAACGAACCAGTAGACCAACAATTGTTGTTAGTATTGATTTTATTTACATGTACAGATGCTGTATCCAAATCCCCATATTAAGTGCTAATTGACGACTTTCTTGAATAGGGACAGCTTTCTTTTAGCCTATATTCTTGAAGCAAGGATGGGAAAGTAAGGTCTTCCAGAGGTCAAACTGCAACTCCCAAAATCTGGCTAGGTGATGGAAACTGTAATAGTCTACGATTGCTAAAAGACCACATTTTGCCCATTCTTGCCATAAATGATAAAGATTTAAAAATATTGATATCCCATAAACCTGGATACATAGATTGACTTAGAATAACCCAATCATGATCTGGATTCTGTTTTGTTCTGTTCCCATTGCATATTATAGGGAGAATAGTGCTTGTTCATTTTTTCCATTAAATTTCAGAGAGTATTTTCAGTTGAAAACACTACATGTAGATTGATAGATCGTTTATATTTTTGCATCATTTCAATTACTGTTGCTTCAAAAGAGAGCTTTGTGTAGTTTGTGTACAAGTGAGATTTAATTCTCTCATCCACTGCCATTTCCTTTTGTTGCATATCTTTTTAAATTGCAAGCCTGATGGTAAGGAATTGTCAAGTTAACAGTTTGCAAGCTACCTTGGGAGATTGGGTTGTTGTGAGTTTTCCAGGCTGTATGACCATGTTCCAGAAGCATTCCCTCCTGACATTTCACCTTGGGAGACCTTTTAAATAAAGGTTGGGGTATGTTGTTGTTCATTTGTTCAGTCGTCTCCGACTCTTCGTGACCTCATGGACCAGCCCACGCCAGAGCTCCCTGTCAGTCGTCACCACCCCCAGCTCCTTCAAGGTCAGTCCAGTCACTTCAAGGATGCCATCCATCCATCTTGCCCTTGGTTGGCCCCTCTTCCTTTTGCCTTCCACTTTCCCCAGCATAATTGTCTTCTCTAGGCTTTGCTGTCTCCTCATGATGTGGCCAAAGTACTTCAACTTTGTCTCTAGTATCTTTCCCTCCAGTGAGCAGTCGGGCTTTATTTCCTGGAGGATGGACTGGTTGGATCTTCTCGGGTTGGGGTATAAATGTGCTAAATAAATAGCGAACTTTTGTGGTAATAGTAGTAAAGAAATTGAACACTGAATTGGGATAGAGGGAGAGCTTTTATCATAGCGTCCACCAAATTATTACATTTTCGACTTCTACCAACAGTGGGAGGCATGCAAGTTGGAAATGGCAGTGGAGGAGAGAATTAAATCTCATTTGTACACAAACTACACAAAGCTCTCTTTTGAAGCAACAGTAATTGAAATGATGCAAAAATATAAACGATCTATCAATCTACATGTAGTGAGATTTTCAACTGAAAATACTCTCTGAAATTTAATGAAAAAAATGAACAAACTATTCTTTAACTATCTGCTATGAAGGACCATCATTCCCCACCCACCAGGGCCCAGAACTATATTTGTTCCTGTTTGCTATAGTTGTTTCTTCCTTTCCTGGAGGTTCTCCTGAGGCCAGAAATTGATGGCTTGGAAAATAGCTCCAGTCCATGGGCCGCCACTTTGAGGAGCACTTATTTAAATTGTCCTTTGATCTTGTTCTATGATTTTAGCAGCATTTAGAAGAGGTTTAAATTTCCACATCCCTATGCCCTGAAATCCTGACGGAAGGGAAGATTCACATGTGAAGGCTTCTTTGCACCTATGCCCATGTAGCCCCAACTCAGCAACTGATATCACATGTGGACCTTCAGACCAATAGATTGTACCTCCTTCTGTTATAGGATGTGGAAAAGCATATGTTTGTTGAAACTCTGCCTACATTGGTGAACTGAATTAGAACAACTAAAAAACAAAAAAAAAAAAAAAAAAAAAAAAAAAAAAAAAAAAAAAAAAAAAAAAAAAAAAAAAAAAAAAAAAAAAAAAACAAAAAAAAAAAAAAAAAAAAAAAAAAAAAAAAAAAAAAAAAAAAAAAAAAAAAAAAAAAAAAAAAAAAAAAAAAAAAAAAAAAAAAAAAAAAAAAAAACAAAAAAAAAAAAAAGTTTGTTGAAACTCTGCCTACATTGGTGAACTGAATTAGAACAACTACTGAATTGCTCATTAAATGTATCTAAACAGATTCAGGATGTTGTTCTAAGTGGGGTGCCTCCTTTAAATTGTATTGTTGGATAAAATTTACTTATTAAGGTTTTTTTTTTCAAAAAGAACATTCTGATGAGATACTTTTGAGTGTAAAAATATGAGACCCTCAGAAGTAGAATGTTTATAATTTTAGACTGGTTTAAGATTTCAATTCTAAATGGACAATTCATAAAACTTAATTTATTTTCTTTTTGCAGAAATTAATGGAACGTATTCAAAATCCAGAATACTCAACAACCATGGATGTGGCACCTGTTATTTTAGCGGCTCACCGTAATAACTATGAAATCCTTACTATGCTGTTAAAACAGGATGTGTCGTTACCAAAACCACATGCTGTGGGCTGTGAATGCACGCTGTGTACAGCCAAGAACAAAAAAGATAGCTTACGGCACTCCAGGTTACTGTAATTAGCTCTTTATTCATGCATGAAATTTCATCCCTACTTCAACGTAAGATAGAAATTTAAATGGCACTTAAATAGACAGAGAATCAATTGTTATTATATATGTGTATAGGTAGACTTGTACAAATATTTCTGCTTCTATGTTTTGAGGAACTTATTAAAATGAATAGTAGTAATGACTTTTCTTACTGAAGTGAGAGGTATGCAATGCATCTGCTGAACCGAGAATGGGATTGTGATTTTTCTAAGCAATTTATTTCAGTAATATTTAAATATGTTGACCTCACTAGGAGCTTTTGCTGTTGTGTACCACCTTGTCATTTTTTGCTTATAATACAATGCTTAGAATGGGAGTGAGTAGACAGCCAGTTGTCTTGATATGGAAACAGTCTCTGGCTAAAGTTACATATATTTGGTGATTTAGGAGATATTGGGCAACATTAAGGCGCAAAGTGGTTCTGTTCCCATTGCATGTTATTATCATGTGATATTAGAATGCAGCACCAAAAAAGGGGGAAAATATTGGAATTTTGGTACGGCAGGATAGAAATAAGACTAAAGAGGCTCTTCTATCCTAAAGGCTTGTCATGGCGTGATCCTATACATTCTAATCAGAAGTAAGCCATGTTAACTGCAATTAATCCTACTCTTTGGTAAATGAATACAGTATATTACAATCTCAGCAGGAAACCAGTTCTATGGGACACAGTTATTAACCTATCACAATAGGATTACAGATAGCAACTAGCATAACGACCAGCTTCTCATGTTATACTGCATTATTATATTTGCAGTTTGGGGGTCTGGCATTCAATATAATGACCATTTTCTTTGAGTTAACTACAGCTTTTTGCTATCTGTGTGTGCATTCTTTTGAAATTATTAGTTGAAGTCATTATAGCCTACAGTTTGATTTGTAATTGTGTTGCATCCCATTACTTACTAGGCATGATAACTCTTAAGTGTAATTCCATCAATATTTTTTCTTCAGGCTGGAGGGAAAAAAGTAATTTCACTTATTTTCTAGGACATGCAGATAAGATATGGAGCAGGAAAGCCCTGTAAAGGCCATCCAACCCAACTCTGCCATGCAGGATTAAAAAACTAAAGCACTCTAAGACATGGTTATCCAACCTCTATTTAAACATCTCCAAAAAGGCAGAGTTCACCTTTGCGTCTATTGTCATATGTCTTTTTCTATGTGGAAGTTAAGCGAATGACAAGCAAATCATGAGCTTTAAAACTCTGATCGTAATAAAAACTGTTTTTCTTAAGATGAGTTCTTCAACATTTTCATTATAGATTCCGTCTTGATATTTATCGATGTTTGGCCAGTCCTGCCTTGATAATGCTGACAGAAGAGGATCCAATTTTGAGAGCTTTTGAACTTAGTGCGGATTTAAGAGAACTAAGTCTCGTAGAAGTTGAATTCAGGTACAGATTAAAATTTGACCCAGAATTATTATTTTCTTTTTCTACATATCATTGATTTCATGCATACTATGAGTCAGTGAGACAACAAAATCAAAATTATTAAGAAACAAGCATTGATTGCAAATACTGAATTAAAACTGTTTAATCTGCATTAGCAGCTGTTGATTTCCTTGTTGTTGGAATCCTAAATCAAGTTCAGGTTGCAGTTTGTTCTTTAAAAGATGTATCCAAGGTGCTGATCCCTATCCCCCATAATAGACTTAATACCTTGGATAGCTACTTTAAAATTTTGATTGAAAACTGGAGTGGATTCGCAATTCTACTGACATGTAAATCATCATCCACCACACAGCATGGAATTCAATCTTAACTCATCTGTTTTAGGATCCATTGGCATTGACGCAAGTGTTTAGTTTTTAGTTAAAAGCAATGGATGCTTAATGAATTCAAGGCTGGAGTTAAACTTGCTGGAAGAAACATTAACAACTTTAGATATGCAGATGATACCACTTTGGTGGCTGAAAGCAAGGAGGAGCTGAGGAGCCTTCTAACCAAGGTGAAAGAAGAAAGTGCAAAAGCTGGGTTGCAGTTAAACATAAAAAACCAAGAAGATGACAACCAGACTGATTGATAACTGGCAAACAGGGAGAAAACATGGATTTCTTCTTCACTCCTATTTCTAGGAGTGAAGATTACTGCAAACAGGAAATTAGAAGACATTTACTTCTTGGGACGAGAGTAATGATAAATCTCAGTAAAATAGAAAAGAGTAGAAGACAGCACACAGGCAATGAAGGTCCTCATAGTTAAAGCAATAGTATTCCCCATAGTAATCTATGGATGCAAGAGCTGGACCCTAAGGAAGGTTGAGCGAAGTAAGAAAGACGCTTTTGAACTGTGGTGTTGGTGGACAATTCTGAGAGTGCCTTGGACTGTGAGAAGATCAAATGAGTCCATACTCCAGGAAATAAAACCCAACTGCCCATTGGAGGGAAGGATATTAGAGGTAAAGATTAAGTACTTTGACCACATAATGAGAAGACGGGAAAGCTTGAAGAAGATGATGCTGGGGAAAATGGAAAGAAACAGGAAGTGGGGCCGACCAAGAGCAAAGTGGATGTATGGTATCCTTGAAGTGACTGAATTGACCTTGAAGGAGATTGGGGTGGTGTTGGCCAACAGGGAGCTCTGGCATGGGCTGGTCCATGAGGTGACAAAGAGTCAGAAGCGACTGAATGAATAAACAGCAACAAACTTGATTACAGTGTTTTCTGACCTATGTTGGGACCTACTATTTGTGCTACCTTAGAGAGTCTTCAACACTGCATATTTAAAATAGTGGATAGTGCATATATCCAAATATTTATTATTAAATCCGTGTGTAGGAAAGTTTAGAGCAACAATATTAGTATGCGTCATTGATGATATATTGATTACATAAAAGGAAACTGGCTTAAATCTATTTAAATAGCTTTCGTTTTTTAAGTCTGGCATTTGCTCTAGATCCAGGAAAGATATTTGCTCTTTTACCCTGATGTTCATATCAAAAGTATGTTTGTATTTTTCACCTTCCCTATTTCCTAGAAATGATTACGATGAGTTAGCCCAGCAATGTAAAACATTTGCTAAAGATTTGCTTGCCCAAGCACGGAATTCTCGGGAACTTGAAGTTATTCTAAACCATACGGCAAGTGATGAGCATGTGGATAAAAGGGGACTGTTAGAAGAAAGAATGAACTTGAGTCGGTTAAAGCTTGCTATTAGGTATAATCAAAAGGAGGTATGTCTTTTCCTTTAATTTATTGCAAAAATGATGCAAAATGAATGGCATTGTTTCTTTGGTTGGTAATATGCAATGGTACTATAGTTGTTGCACTTACATTGGTAGACTGAAGGAAAAAAATGAGTCAAGCAAAAATGTTATTCTTAATAGCAGTTCTTCACTTGATCACTTTCAAAGTTTTGTTTTCAACATTCTAATTATTTTGTTTGATGTGTTTTTATATCTGACTATCATTCACCAGAATTTGTGGTGGAATCTGATGTTCCTATTGTTGGAAGAAAAGTCAAAAAATATTGCCAGATTATAGCCAAGGAAGTCTTCTGGTATCCTAAATATCTCTGGGAACATAGTCCTTCATGTAAATAGGAGGTGTGCTTTTCAGCTACAGTTGTAAATACAGAGTTCCAGGTGATGTCACTAAGATATAGCGGAATAGGGAGCCATGGATAAGATGACATTTAAGTTTTGGTTTTAACTTAATTGCTATTTTTCTAGCAAAAACATAAAATATTAAATCATTGAAGTGAACTTAAGAGTTTTAGGTAACTTGTTTTAGGTAACTTTTAGGTAACAGTTTTGCATTCAAAATTTAAACTTTATTTAAAAGCATATTTCACATTACTTCACATTGCAATCTAATTATTTCTGTCTGTCTTTATGGGTTTCCACAGAGCTTGAGCCTTCATTGGCAACTTTTATTAACATAAACTTCTTTTCCTGTTGCAGTTCGTTTCTCAGTCTAATTGCCAACAATTTCTCAATACTGTTTGGTTTGGACAAATGGCTGGTTACCGTCGCAAACACACATTCAAGAAGATTTTGACTGTCTTAACGGTTGGCCTCTTTTGGCCACTGCTATCTTTTTGTTATTTATTGGCCCCCAAATCTCGAATAGGCCGAATAATTCACACTCCTTTTATGAAGTTCATTATTCATGGAGCATCATATTTCACTTTTCTGCTGTTACTTAACTTGTACTCGGTTGTCTACAATGAAGATAAAAAAAACACAATGGGGCCAGCTTTGGAGAGAATAGACTACCTTTTAATACTCTGGCTCATTGGTAAGTATAGGACTGATACAAAATTATTGTCCTGTCAGTTTCTGGAAATAATGTTGCATTTTACCAGGTTTAGGATATCATTTACAAGATTTACATTTCTGGAGGTGTGATTGATTATGATGTAGTTAGAGCCATTAAACATGTTCTTAATATGTCCTATAATCAGGAATATTAAGGACATTTAATCAACTACCAAGCTTGCAAATTTTGTGGTTTGTTTGTTTGTTTGTTAAAAAATGCAATACAACTGTTTGGTTTGCTCCTGACACGATAGATAGATAAATAAATAAATAATCAGGAAAGTGCTGCAGACATAATTTCCCAGCACCCTGATCTGCTGTGCCCTGGGAACTCTTCAGTTGAGCCTGTACCAGACTCAAAAGTTTTTGAGGGGTGGAATCAGATATAAATACAATGAGGGAACTATGTCACTGTAGTTGTATCTAACAATGCAGAATCTCAGTCTACATGTTATGCCCATTTGTGGTTTTATATGTATTTTGTACAGCTCTGAACTAAATTGTACTGGTCTATGGCTATAAAAATTACACACAGTTAAAGCATCTAAATAGCAAGAGAAATATATTTAAAATATCAAAACAATTACACCAGTAAAACCATGAGTAATAATTTAGTCAGGAGAGCTTCTTTGTATAAAAACATGTTCAAATGATGACAGAAGAAAAGCAATATGCATATATGACCTCTCATGATAGGTATTCCACAGAGGAAGAACTAATACCCTGAAACCTCTGGTCTGAGTGGCCTTCAAATGGACTGCAAGCCAATGTAGCATCAATAGGATCTCATCTGGTGACTTCAGGGACCAGGAGTTGATGAGAGAAAAAAAGAGAATGAACAAATATTGCCCTCTACCTCAATAAAATAGACACATGCTTTTGTCTAGTGAAGTATACATACTATTCATGCAGAAAATATTGCACGAACTAACTCTCAGGACAAGTACATAAAAGGCCTTAAATGGTGGGACAACAGAAAGCAGTGTGTGTCTTTACTGCATTTGCAGTAATCTTATGAAGTGGCCTATATATCCATGTAATTGTGTTCCAAACTGTTTTTGAAAAAAATCTAAATCCCTATGGAAATTAGGTTGTGTGTGTTTGGGGGTGTGTGGAACAAATGGAGACTGGTCATCCACATTTTTACAACATGTGCACAAATCTCTGTTCCTCCAAACCCCTGAATTTTTGAATTTCCAGAAATGATTTGTAGATTAGCTGTGGGAAATACAGAACCAGTAGAGGGAGCACACAGACAATTACTTTTCAGTTTTGCTTTTTAAAAACCAACTTTCATTGCAGTGATTTTCTAGGCACAAATAAAAGTACAAACCATGCCTTTCATTTTATGAGAAGCAGTGTTCCAATAATACTTTAAATTTATGGTTTAATTTTTCACTTGTTTGGAACTATGTATGTTTCTAGTATTACTGGTATTTTTTATTGGATATCTAGACCTTCTGTCAAAAATGGGACTCATGTTGGCTCCTAGTAGTGTTAAAATAATGAAAAATACTATCACAGCACAAACATGATCAATTATGTAAACAACATTAAATTAAAATGCAGCCTAAAATAAAATTTACAAATCACAATGAAAAGTGTACCACACAGCCCTGTCCTGATTTGCTTGAAGAATTGTAATTCTTATAGTAATTGTCTAGAAATGTTTGAAACTTGACTCATTTAAGCTATTGTCAAATGGTGGATCAATATGTAAGTAAACTGAATTGAAGGGCAATCTGTACTAGGGACTGAAAGGAGAATTCGGGACAGCATCTTTTAATATTACTAGTGACAGAAGAATAATGGTAGGTAATTTGAGTTACACAACTTAGCTCAATACTTAAGTTCTGTTGAGTCAGAACTTAAGTATAGTTGGGGGCTAACAATTGGATTTAGACCATATTCCTCATCTAACCTTTGAAGAAGTATGCATCTGATACAAAATAGGTAGAAAATGCTGAAATCTTTGTGCAACATTGTTTCATATTGACTATATTCTCTTTCTGACTCATAGGAATGGTATGGTCAGATGTTAAAAGACTCTGGTATGAGGGCTTAGAAGACTTTTTGGATGAATCCCGAAATCAGCTTAGTTTTGTCATGAATTCACTCTATTTTGCAACTTTTGCCCTGAAAGTTGTTGCACATAACAAGGTAAGCATCAATGCTGTAGATTGTTGACACAAGTGTAAAATCACTTTGGTTCCCTCCCCCTGCTCAATTTTTTTAAGAGGGAGCAATAAAACCTTATGACAGCTCTTTAAACTATTGTCTTTGTATTTATCCCAAGGAATAAGGCAGAAGGGTGAGCATTAAGTTGAGTCTGTATTTAGGTTTGGGGTGTGCTAATTTAGGTGTTTTTTTTTAGGGGAAACAAATATGTTTCATGTGCATTATACTACTTGTTGAAAACAGACGGGAACTTTACAGTTTAGCATAAGATTTATTTATTTACTTTGCTTATATACCGCTGTATCTCAAGCCCGAAGGCGACTCACGGCGGTTCACAAACAGTAAAAACAGTAGAAACAGCAGTGGTTCCATACAACATATAACAATTGACTTAACACATTATCCATAAATTACCAATAAGCAGTTACAATGCACAATTATTACAAAAAACAACCGTACCCAATCTTCTCATCATCCAAGCGTAGTCCAGGTTCGTCGTCCCTTGTTCCATTCCTATGTTCCATTACCAGATTGCACTAAATTACTCAAACGCCTGCACAAACATCCAGGTCTTCACCTTTCTGCGGAATACCATTAGAGATGGTGCTAGTCTAATGTCCGTAGGAAGGGCGTTCCACAGCCGAGGAGCCACCACCGAGAAGGCCCTATCTCTCGTCCCCGCCAGCCGAGCTTGAGAAGCAGGCGGGATCGAGAGCAGGGTCTCCCCGGAAGATCTTAAAGTCCTGGTGGGTTCATAGGCAGAGATGCGGTCGGATAGGTAGCTTGGGCCGGAACCGTTTAGGGCTTTAAAGGCCAACGCCAGCACTTTGAATTCAGCCCGGTAGCAGATCGGTAGCCAGTGGAGTTGGCGCAACAGGGGGGTTGTTTGCTCCCTGCGCTCCGCTCCTGTTAAAATCATGGCTGCCGAGCGTTGGACTAGTTGGAGCTTCCGAGCTGTCTTCAAAGGCAACCCCACGTAGAGTAGTCTAAACAGGATATAACCAGAGCGTGGACTACCGTGGCCAAGTCAGACTTCTCAAGGTACGGGCGCAGCTGGCGCACAAGCTTTAGCTGTGCAAATGCTCCCCTGGTCACCGCCGAAACCTGGGGTTCCAGGCTCAGCGATGAGTCCAGGGTCACACCCAAGCTGCGAACCTGCATCTTCAGGGGGAGTGCGGCCCCATCCAACACAGGCTGTAACCCTATGCCCTATGCCCTGAAGATCAATTATATTCTATCTCAAATCAGGCCATCTACTTTTTACCAATATAGTATGTTATGCAGACATTGTAAAATGAAAGAGGCCCAGATCTTCTGCTTAGTATGTACAGTACAAATCATTTTGTGCTGTTTTTCTGGATATTAAGCAGGTCTGAATATTGTATTAAGTCAGTGGTTCCCAGCCTGTAGTCCATGGACCACCAGTGGTCCACAAGAACAAAAATGGGGTCTGTGTCCTCACCAATACTACACAGTTGCCCCGAAACCACGTGGCAATGAGAGCAACTGGCTCATGAAACCCCCTTATAGTGCTGAGGCAACAGGGATATTGGGAGGAAAGAGACGTACTACCCACAAAATATTACTACTATCACATCAGCTCTAGATTATTAAATATGGTTTTCTGTGGGCGAGCAGATGGCAACTACTGGATGGCATATGTTCTGTATCAGAAACTAGAGCTGGTGTGGTCTATCCAATGCAGTTTTCTGAATCAGCACCACAAATAACTAAATCAAATCTAAAGTTGACCAAAAACTGATTTGTAACCCTTTTGGTACTAATGTTGGAGAGTGGTCCCTGGTTAAAGTGGTCCCAGTTCAAGTGGTCCCTGGTCAAGTGGTCCCTGGCCAAAAAACGGTTGGGAACCACTGTATTAAGTGGTACTTTCTCTAAAGCAGGTCTTTCCAAATTCTGTGTGTGACATCTTAGCGTGTTGGTTGCAGCATGGTGGTTTGTCATGCCAATGTAATGAGAATGACAACAATTTTGGAAATATCTGTTATCTTACGAATCATATCTTTAAAAAATATAAATAAAATATTTTCGCAAGATATGTTGTGTCCCTATATATTTTGTTGTTACAGTTTATCCCTCTCACTTATAAGAGGTTAGTTTAACCTCTGGTTTGCTGGTAAAACCTAATGTCTGTTTCACAAAATAATGCCTGTCCAAAAAGTGTGTCACCAACAGAAATGTTTGGAAAGCTTCTCTAAAGGAGTTTGTTTTTAAACTAATGGGTTATGGTCACAGCAGAATTTAATAACCACATTTGCTGTGCATTTAAAACATAAAATGTTTTTTTTACTTCTGGAGAGAACACTATGAGAGTATAACCTTGAAAATTATGTGAGCAGATTATTGGGAATAGGAAGTACTGACCTTTTATCATTAACTTACTGACATTTTAGATGAGGGGAAGCACAGCTGAAAAGCCAGCTGGTGATCTGATTTCAGCCCCCGCCACCCTTCTTCATTAACAGGCATGCTGTATGCTACAAAATCCTTTAAACCAAGGCTTTGCAATTTTACATGAAACCATGATGAATACCAAATGAGCCTGGTGATTTGTGTGATGTATTTGTATAAAATATAGGGAGATTTTGCATTACCCTGGATCTCTCTTCCACTTTATTTGCTAAATAAAAAAGCCTTTTAAAAGAAAGCCTAGCTAATTTGCTAGGGGTAGCTGAAAACGCAGTTCTCGTTCATTTGTACGTGTTACAAATTAATAGAGTGCTTTACTTTGTGTTTATTGATTTTCCTCTCAATAAATTTGTCATTTACATTTCCATTTAATGCACTTTGTGACTTTGCAATTTGTACATGAAACACTAATGTATACCAGATGATGCAAGTGCGACTGAGCATTGTCAGAAACCTTGTGGTGCAGTGGTTTGGCCACTGGACTGGGATACTGGAAGTGCAGGGTTTTGAATCACTGCTTGGCCAAGGAAACCACTGGGCAAATCACACTCTATGTCAGAGGAAGGTCACAACATTCACACCTCTCTGATAGCTTCAAGTGAGGGTAGCCATAAATCAGAAATGACTTGAAGGCACATAGCAGCAAGAAACCCTATCTCACAAGGATGAATTGACTAGAGGAGAAGAAGAGCAATGTAAAATCCATTTAGGAAAAAAGACAAGATAAAAGTGATTTTTCCCCCCAAGAGCCAGCATAGTACAGTGGGTTGAGTGTTGGACTAGTACCTCTGGAGACCAGGATTAATTAATAACCAAAGCCAGCCACAAAGACCTAATAGGTACTCTTGGGCAATTCATACTCTCATTCACAGGAGAAGGCAATGGCCGATCCACCTCTGAACAAATCTCACCGAGAAAATCTGAGGATGGGCTCATTATAGATCAGAAATAACTTGAAGGCACACAACAACAATTTTGACTTGCGGAAGGCCTTGTCCATGTCAAATGTCTTTAACCTTAGGTTTTATGTTCCTATTTCTCAGAAACTGTTGGTCCTAAACAAACTATTATTAGTCATCTTTATCATGTGTCATGTGGGATATCTTAAATAATGCAATATATTTTATTGCTACCTATTAAACCTGGAAATCTCTCACAGAACACCTACACATACTCAATACTTTCTATGAGTTTTTAGTTGTTCATCTACAGCTTTAATAGTCTGATGGTCAAATTGCACATTATATAGAGTATGTGCCTGTACGTGCTTGTGTATGTGTCATAAAGGACAGTCGTGAGTTCAAACCTAGTTTAGCTTTGATGTGCTGGTGACTGGGTTTAACTCTTTCCTTCATGCAATAGTCTCAATAAAAGTTGCCCCCACTTATGAAGCAGCAGTTTGTCCTCGCATTTAGACTCTATGCCAGCTTTTTTCTCCAGTCAAACAGCAGGTGGGGGAGCGTTGATGTGGGTGAGGAATTGTCAGGGTCAAAGCACAGGTAGAAGGTTTAGAATCCTTTCCAATTTATATGAAGAGGTTTTCTTATATGTGTACAGCTGATATTTTCAGAGCAACCTTTCCACCTATCTCAAATGCATTTTGAGTATAAGATTAACTTGTTTCCTATTATGTCTGCTTGCTTTACATGTAAGACCCTTTCAGTTCTTGGTTGTTAGTGTAGTAAAATTGTTTCCTAAGATATAAAATTTAATGTATTGTCGAAGGCTTTCATGGCTGGAATCACTAGGTTCTGGTGGGTTTTTTCGGGCTATAGAGCCATGTTCTAGAGGCATTTCTCCTGACGTTTCGCCTGCATCTATGGCAAGCATCCTCAGAGGTAGTGAGGTCTATATAAAATTTAATTCAAATAAGGCCATCTTATAATCTTGACAGAAATAATTGGAATATAGGCAATTCAGTAGGGAATCTCTTTGATCACTGGGACATTGGTATTTCCATGCTAATCCTTTTCGTAGACTGTTAAAAGATGGAAACTATTCATCTTATGTTACAGCTTTCTGGTAGTTTCATGTGGTATTTATTTATTTATTTCATTTATATACCACTTTTCCCACCTCTGGGAGGACTCAAAGTGGTTTCCAGCATATTCACAGCAAAATTCAGTGCCTTACAAAACATGAAAACCTAACATAAAACAACAGTAATAATGACAATGTTGTGTTATTTCTTCTTGTCCTCTACTCACTTTTTCTCATGAGTGGGACAAGTTAGAAGCTGCTAATTCTCTTTGTGACAAATAACAAATTATGTGTTTCCACACAAATTAGAAACATATTGCAATATTTGCCTCTCAAACACAACGAAGTTCACAGGCAAAGTGGCATGAGTAACTCTCAAGGCTTGCTGTGGCTCATTCAAAACTGGAGAATTATCTGAATTGAGCTGGTATACTATTGGTTTATGAGAAGTGTCAGTTGTGTCTCTGTAAAATTAAAGTGACTTCAACTTCTTTTTAAAAATCTAGTTTCATGATTTTGCTGAGAGGAAAGATTGGGATGCCTTCCATCCTACACTCGTGGCAGAAGGTCTTTTTGCTTTTGCTAATGTTCTGAGTTATCTTCGACTTTTCTTCATGTATACAACAAGCTCTGTCCTCGGACCACTTCAGGTCAGTTGTTATATATGAAAAAATGCTATGTTTACTGTTTGAGCCCTCCCATCCCTTAGCACTATATTAATAATTAAATGAATCTAAATAATTGATTGTGCTGATACAGTAGCTCTTGTGGGTGAATGTTGGGTTATGTGGGTTTACTAAGACTGTCTGCTTCAAAATGGATGAAACTTCATATGGTTAATAATGGTGTGTAGCAGCCTTAAAGGGATTTTGTCTTATGCACCTTTCACAGTTGCTTGATACAAAATAATTAGCAACACACTCTATTTGTATAGCCAGTTATTATGATAAGATTTTGCAGGCTTCATTTAGAGTTGGTTTCCTCTATGACAACTGTAAACTAAAGACGCTGACATAAGACAGTCCCCAAGTTACAAACAAGATCGATTCTGTAGGTTTGTTCTTAGGTTGAATGTGCATGTAAGTTGGAATAGGTACATTTTAAAGTGCAGCTCCAACCAGAGAGGGGGGGGGGGGAGAGAGAGAGAGAGCTTTGGGTAGCATAGGGAAGGGTTAACTCTCCCTTTGTGTTTGTTGACTCTGTGCTCCTGTTCAGAAGATTTCACCTCATGTTCTGTCTCTGTGATAATTGGATTTTGAAAAATTTGGCTTGTTGGGGAAATTATGATTGGTGATATAGCTTCAGTGGAGACACCTTTTCCCCGTTATAACTCTTTCAGAACTGAATTTCCTATCCGATGGGTAGATTTCTCTCACTTCCTGTTGTCTCACCCGTTCTTAATTATGAGTCGTTTGTAAGTCGATGTTTGTAATTTGGAGACTGCCTGTCATGTATACGAATATATTTGAATTGTCCAAAGAACAATACTGACTTTGTACTATAAACAAATAAGAGATCCTTCTTCTTCTCTCATTAGAGCTACCTAATGAGATGCACAAGGAAAAGACAAAAATATTAAACTCTTTGGGAAATGGAGCTGCAGCATTTATCTATATTTCTTTCTCTCCTAATCACTCCCTTTACAAATTTCCATTAAAACTATTTTTAAAAAACCCTCAACAATACTGTGGTGAAACATTGACTGTTAGAAGTTTATATTAATTTTGAAGTGGTTCTTTGTATAACATTTTATTTATTCATGCAATGCAGTTATAACATGTATTTTTATTAATCTTCTCTGTAGTGAAAGTAGCATTCCAGGGTAGGTAAACAACCAACAGGCACCTCATTCAATGACACACTGAAGCTTTAGATGCACTTGCTAACAACCATAGATTAAGCAATAATCTTAGCAAAAACCCACATGCTGTTTCCCAAAAGTAGGTCATAGCCTTAAAATGCCTATAGACCGCTCTCCATCAATGAAATGAAAAGCAGATTATTATAACACATTCTTATTTGCATTCAAAATTACCAGATTTGATTGTGTAGTTTAATCTTCAACCTGTATTTGAAAAGCTATTAGTAAAATATTATCAGTTACTTGTTTATTAGCAAATGGATAAGATTTGTTGAACTCTGGATTCATTTTAGTAAAACAGTGATATCCAAATAGTTTTATTAAATATAGTGAATAATTAAGAAGGCTGGCTTTTTGTAATAGCGGTCTTTACAGGATAAATCTACATGCTACAAATATAGATAAGTTATTTATCTGTGATTATCTATGAACACACTTTTTTCGTGTCAGGAGCGACTTGAGAAACTGCAAGCCGCTTCTGGTATGAATATAATTGATCTAAATAATTAAATAAATCTATATTGTAGTTACCTTTAACCTGATTAGCACTTCCATACTGCAAAACTCTAATAACTGGAAAGATATTTGGTACTTTATTATTTATGTAATTCTCTTAAGGGTACTACTTCTCATGAATTGCTCCTATGCTATATTACTTCTCATTATCTTATCTTTTATTTCAGTGTTATATGTTATATGCAGGGTGACCCAAAATTGTATATAAACATTTAACATCTTATAATTTTGGAATTATTATTTTGCAATTTTATTTCAAAAATGTATACATCTTTAATAGGATTGAAAGTTCCAAATAGTAAACAGTGTCACAAAATTACAAGAGAATCCTCAAGTAAGGTTTGCAATTGTGTGCTTTAAGAACGTGAGCAGTGCATTGCTGCACAACTATGATAATTTGAACTCCTTATATAGAATTGTAATTTAAAATGGAATTTGGAACTTATTAAATATTTATTGCAACATTTATTTTACAATATAAATGTATGTTTACTTAGCTTTCAAATAATCACCGTGGCAAAAAATGTGCAATTTTGGGACACCTTTTATTTAACATAGAAAGCTTAAAATATCTTATTCATTTCACAGTCCTGTCCTTTGTGTATTTACTCAGATGTACAATTTATAAGACTGTAGTCTGTTGTACTCTACCTAGAAGCAAGATATATTTATATTATAAAAATAATGTTCATTTAAGGGTTTCTGGCAGTTCATATATAACTGTAATGCAGTGGTTCTCAACCTGTGGGTCCCCAGATATTTTGGCCTTCAACTCCCAGAAATCCTAACATCTAGTAAACTGGCTGGGATTTCTGGGAGTTTAGGCCAAAACACTGGTGACCCACAGGTTGAGAACTGCTGTAATGATTCTGTTGCTAGACTCTCTTGTACTGCCTTGAATTTGACCATAATTTTTTATTTATTGTTTATTTATTTAAAACATTTATATTCCGCCCTTCTCACTCCGAAGGGGACTCAGGGTGGATCTCAGCATATATATGGCAAACACTCTAGAACACTGCCATATAGCCTGGAAAAAACCCACAAGAACCTAGATTCAATTATTTTGTTTTCCCTGTTATATCTCGTAGTTTTTGTGTGTCTTTCTAATACACACTTATGACTTGCTGCATCTTTAGTATTTAAATTTAATAAAATGAATATGTTCTACAGATTTCAATGGGGCAGATGTTGCAAGACTTTGGAAAATTTCTTGGAATGTTTCTTCTCGTGTTGTTTTCATTCACAATTGGGTTGACCCAACTCTATGATAAAGGTTTCACTGTGAATGAAGAGAAGGACTGTGCTGGAATCTTCTGTGAGCGACAAAGCAACGACACTTTCCATTCGTGAGTTTCAAAGCATTGTCTGAGGTGGTAATAATAAAAAACCAGCTGTTTGGTTTTATAATGTGGCTTCACCTTATGGGAGAAGGGGCATCATTCTGGTTTATTATCACTACAGTTCTATCTAGAGCAGTGATTCTCAACCTGTGGGTCCTTAGATGTTTTGGTTTTCAACTTCCAGAAATCCTAACAGCTGGTAAACTGGCTGGATTTCTGGGAGTTGAAGGCCAAAACATCTGGGGACCCACAGGTTGAGAACCACTGGTCTAGAGAGTCAACTGTAAAGTTTGTTCAGTGAATAACATTGTCTGATTCAACACTGAATTAATAATAAAAACTTTTTAATGGATGTAATTGGACTATGAAAAGAATTCACAGCTGTAATATTGCAGAATTCAGACATTAAACTGAATAAAAGTGGAATACATTTTTTCAAAGTGGTATGACAAACATTACTGATACCAAACTTTTTTTTGTCATAAAGAATGAATTGATCTGGCCTGGAATGCATGGTTGCTAATATTTTTTCTTGCATATCTTTCTGAATTACTTGGTTACGCCTTTCCCCTTGTTTCTTTCAGGTTCATTGGAACTTGCTTTGCCCTATTCTGGTATATATTTTCACTTGCACATGTAGCTGTATTTGTCACCAGATTTAGTTATGGTGAAGAATTGCAGTCGTTTGTGGGTGCTGTTATTGTTGGCACATATAACATTGTAGTTGTGATTGTCCTCACCAAGCTCCTTGTGGCGATGCTTCATAAAAGCTTTCAGCTGATAGCAGTGAGTATTTTTAAAACAAGATTTATTCTATTTCAGCATAAACTTGACTCTTGATTCTTTATAGTAGAACTCCTACCCTGATAATTCTAATCGTAATAGTGTTTAAGAAGTAAAGAAACACCAGCTTGATTTAATTTATCCTTGTTAACTTGGTACAAAGCATAAACATGGCAGAGGAAACCAAACTAGAAGATTACATCAGAATATTCTCATGCATATACATACATCTATGCATCATGATAGATCATAAAATAGAGATGTTGCTAACACTATAACCAAGATGCTGTCTTATGCATGGTGTCCGATTGTTTCATGTGCCCGTGGTGGTGCAATGGGTTAAACCTTTTTGCTGGCAGGACTGAAGACCGACAGGTCAGAGGTTCGAATCTGGGGGAAAGTGCAGATGAGCTTCCTTTGTCAGCTCCAGTTCCCCATGCGGGGACATGAGAGAAGCCTCTCACAAAGATGGTAAAACATCAAATCATCCACACATCCCCTGGGCAACATCCTTGCAGATGGCCAATTCTCTCACACCAGAAGTGACTTGCAATTTCTCAAGTCACTCTTGATATGAAAAAAGTGCCATAATACAAAGATAGTTTTGAGAGGAAAGGAAGTTTCTTCTACTTGTAACACAGGCCTTTCAGAAAGGTTTCCTGCAAATTCCTAGTCAAGGTTATTCAACACAAGCATGGATATTTTGTGTACTTTTGCTATCAATAATCCAAATCAGTATGTAGTAATGCTGGTGTCTTTGGGAGTTAATCTGATATCTATGGGCTTTGACATCATAGATACCGTGTTTTTGAGGTACATCTAATGCCACTCACCCATTTGGTCTAATAGAGAATAGAGTATACCCTAAAGAGCAGTCATAATATAAGAGCCCACCAAAGGCTTTCTTTAGTATTCAGGACTAAAATGTGTATTTAAGAGGCTCTGTTATGGTGACTTTCTGTTTAATATTTTAAAACATAGACATATTGTGAAGGCAATACATTTAGAAATGTATAATTCATTCAGTTGGGTACACAAATAGCGGCATATAACTGCTGGTACTCAAGAGGAATACATTTCACATGACCTGGAACAGAACATTCCTAACACCTGTTTCTAGGAGTTTCTTGATTTTTTCAGCAGAAGTTTTTTTAGATGTAACGGTGACGTGCAAGAATTCTCATATGTGTTCATGTTTAATGATCTTCTGATGTCATCCATGCCCAGAATGCCTCTGAACTGACATGACCAACAGTTTCAATGAATGTACTAATACATTCTTCTATCATTTCATTTATCAATCTTTATTATTAATGACTGAAGCCAGGGATGGCTAACTGTTGTCCTCTATATGTTTTTGGACTACAGTAGCTTTTCATTGCCAGCTGCTCTGGCTAGGGCTGCTGGGACTTGTAATCCAGCACCTAGAGAACCACTTTGATTCATCTTTGATTTAATATAAATAACAATTTCAGAATTGAGAGACTCTGGCACTGTAAAACATTCAGAATGTGATTTTTGTGTTTGCTGCTAGTCATCACTCCCCTCGTCCCCCACCAGTTGTCTCCACCTTTCTGAAAAGAGTGAGGCAAGTATAGAGATAGTGAGGGTTAGATGTGGGCCAGTAGCCTATGATGTAAAATTTCCTTATTGCTTTTAACCAAATGTTGAAATACATAATCATGGTTTACCAGGACTTCTGAACTTAATTTTGTTTTCAATTATTTAGAATCATGAAGATAAAGAATGGAAATTTGCTCGTGCCAAACTATGGCTTAGCTATTTTGATGACAAATGCACACTACCTCCACCTTTTAATATCGTTCCCTCTCCTAAGACTATTTGCTGTCTATTTAATAGCCTCAGTAAGTGGATCTGTTCTCATACATCATCTGGTAAAGTTAAACGGCAAAATAGCTTAAAGGTAAGACACTGATTTATTGAGTGCATTGTCATAATGAAACAAATTCTAATAGTTATACGTTATTTGTTACCAACATTGCATTTCTGCTTACATTACATTTTAGGTGCTTAACCTGCATATCTTAAATGGTATTATAACTGCTTGCTCTACAGTTATACATCTATTCATTTCTGCATCAGTTTAATATGTTCTAAGAACCATTCAGATATGTATTAGTTCCTGATATGTGTTGAGATTTTTAGAGCATGTATTGTTGCTTACTAGCTGGAGGAGGGCCATGTTGTGCCTCCATTGGCATCTCGGAGGACTACAAATAAATGCCTTCACCTCTTATGGCTCCCATACTTCTGGGGATATGACAGCAATTTAGGCACACACCTCTTCCACACTTTTTAAGGCTCAGGAAAAGCCTTTTTCAACCAGGAAGTAATTCAGAACCTGAAACAGCTAGGGAGGGGGGATAAAATCACTGGGGGTGGATGAAATTTTAGTAAAAAGTTATATATATATAACTTATATATATATATATATAACTTATATAACTTATATATATATATATAAGTTATATATATATAAAGTTATATATATATATTTTGTTTAATATATATATATTAAACAAAATGCAAAACTTTGGGGTTACTCTTGAAAGTACACACCACATTTTTCCCACCTGCGTATCCTATACTTATTGTGTGCTCTCCCCCCCCCCCCCCATATATATCTTAAGATGGGAAACATTTGTATATATAGATAATTATCAAATTTCTGTGTGTGATAGACAGTGGCTTTTCATTGCCAGCTGCTCTGGCTAGGGCTGCTGGAACTTGTAATCCAGCACCTAGGGAACCACTTTGATTCAAATAATGCAATCAGTCTGACAGGGAACATGACAGGTATGCATATATGCAGATGATGATTGGAATTAAGCATTTAGAAGTCAATTTGGAAAATATTTACCCATTTTATGAACAGATAAATACTGATAAGTGTCATAAGTACAAAGCATAAACATATGGCAGAGGAAACCAAACTAGAAGATTACATTAAACAACTGTAAGTACAACAAACCTAAAAATGCAGCCTGAGATAGACAGTAACAATAGCAAGGCAGAAAAGAAGAAAGCTAAAGAACACACACAGAGGCAGGTCAGTTTGAAGGAGTGGTGGCCACTTCAAGTCAATTATAGCAAATTCTGCTAGAATTATACAGTTTTTTGCGAAGTGGAACACAATTGTTCCTTTGATTTTCAAAGGAGCATTAAACATGTGTTTAAATACCTCTAGCTAAATTAATGATATCAGAAAAACAATGTTGGCAGTTCCATCCTGCCCACTCTTCTTTTACAATAAAACACAGGCTTTCTAACTGGGAAAATCTTGTAGCCATTTGCACATCATAGCTAATATGTCACTATTGTTATTTGCTTAAAGGAGTGGAAAAATCTGAAGCAAAAGAGGAATGAGAATTACCAGAAGGTGATGTGTTGCTTAGTGCATCGCTACCTGACGTCTATGAGACAAAGAATGCAAAGTACTGATCAGGCAACTGTAGAAAACCTCAATGAACTACGGCAAGACCTATCAAAATTTCGAAATGAAATGAGAGACTTGCTTGGCTTCCGGACTTCAAAATATGCCATATTTTATCAAAGAAACTAAGATTATGGCCAGACCTAGACCTTTTCATTCCAATAATTTTGTGATCAGCTCAGATTTTTAAAAAAGTTCAGTATCATTAAAAGTATGATTGCATCAGCTGCCAGGAAATTCAGTTGTGAAAACAGAGTACTCTTCTCATATTCTTTATGAAACTTTTAATAATACCGTATTTTCTACATGTTTATAGTCTGCTAAGCATAAATGTGTACTTTCACAAAGCTCATTAACAACACCCCCCACAATATTGAGAAAGAATAGTTATTGAAATTTCCTTCCACAACATATAGGAGTCAGCATTAGGTTCAAAACCAACAGAACTGTGATCACCAGCAAAATACTGTAATATTAAAAGGCATAAGTAAAGTTCAGGTCATAACAGCTTCTAAAACACTTGTTAGAGGAGACCAGCAGAAAAGTGAAAAACCATATTGCTATTATAAACATTTCTTGATTTTTTTTTTGTATTGAGTGCCACTGAATGATACCAAAGACTATAGCATTTTGGAACCGAATCTATGATCTCATCCGTATGTAAAAATGGAAATTGAATAATCTTTCTAATAGGTAATCTGAATCTTGTCATTTACCTTCATATCACTTGAATTTGCTTAAAATTAGTTGCTCTCATGTGGATTATTTAACACAAATTTCAAATATGAATGTTGAAATGTAAGCATTCTTCTCTAAAAATAAACACTTCAGAAATATTAATTGCAATTAAGTCAACATTCACAAAATTAATTAATATAGATAATTGTCATCATTTGTAAAAATGGGTAGGAAATTACAAAATAATACTTTGCTATCATGTTGAAATATTTCTTCACATGAAATTGTTTTGCTGGTATGCATGTATAAGCATAGAAGTTATGATCCCAAACCAGTTATGTATCCCACTTACAATGCAATAAGCTTAGTTGCACTGATATAATTGAAAATCTGACAAACTTAGAGTGAGATCTTTGTATTTGTAGGTAATCCTTTGTGAATACAGCTCCCTCTCCCCTTCATGCCTCCTATATTGAATGTATTTTGCTTTGGCTTCTGAATATGCCAGGTGATTTGTTTATTTATATTGTAAATTATGTAATTACCAGCAATTTCACCTGAGCAGCAGGAGAATGTGGTGAGTACCAAAAATCTATACCAAGCATTTAAATTTAGAGCTGAAGCATTGTGTGGAAACCTGTCTTTTTAACTTTGAGGGAGAATGGCTACAATACAGTGCATAGTTAGTTAGGCATATTTATGGTGTAGCATAAAAATACACAAGCATGATTACATAGCTTGTTTCCAAAAGATACCAAATCCATCTGAACAAATTTTACTAGAATAGAAAATAAACATGCTGAGGATATGCATTGTTTTCTACAAAATGCAGTTTTCCAAGCCCTGTATCAATTGGTTCTACCTATCTTCGTGACTGCATCCCCCCCATGCTCCTGTGCGAGCATTAAGATATGTCAAGGAGGCCCTCCTTGTGGCCCTGCCACTGTCACAAGCATGGTTGGTGGGGATAAGAGAAAGGGCTTCCTTGGTGGTGCCCCCCCAGCTTTGGAACGCCCTCCCCAGGGAGATTAGAGAGGCCCCACACTGTCCCCCTTCCAGAAGGAATTGAAGACTTGGATGTTTGGACAAGCCTTTGAGAATGTCTAACTCCATGGTCCACAATTAATGGAAGAGCATTGCACTTTTGTCCCATGCCCTAGTTCATGAGCTACCACTTGCACTATCCTATTCCTGTTCTTAGTTACGGTTGGCCATGTTATATGACAGTTCTCACCATAGGTTATTGGGCGTTGATTTAAGTTTAAATCATTGTTTTATACGCTAGTGGGTTTTATCTTTTGTTGTATTGTGTGTTTATTTTATGCGTTGTTTCAGGCACATTTTGCCCTATGTAAGCTGCCTTGAGTCCCTTCGGGGAGATAGAGACAGGTACAAAAATAAAGTTGTTGTTGTTGTTGTTGTTGCTATTATTATTATTATTATTAAATACATTTGATAGTTTTGATCTGTACATAATATTGTACTCCTAGGCAACAGTGTGCTGTTGTCTCTAACTCATTTTTCAAATTTGTGGGATTTGGTACCTTTTGGGGGGGGGGGGGAATCCACATTTATGCTGAATCTTATAGTTGCACAAGTGATTGCACAATGGACACCAATCCCTTGAACTCACCTGCTGCACCAGAGTAGAACAGAGTTTCTGTAAATTCCCCATTCACCAAGTCAAAAAAGAGAGCCGGCTGTGTGCCCACTTGCAGAGCAATTGGGTTCACTCCAGACTGTGGATTGATTTTATGGGATGTAAATATGTAGGCACTGATAATATCTAGTTTAAATATTAACTTGCAAAATTTAAGGCTAAAAGGTGCTGGTCATCTAAGTAGTTGTAATTGATAACAGTGTCTGAACTAAAGGTGGGTTTAAGTCAACATTCCTCCTTTTGAGGAAATTTATTATAGCAATTTTTGGATGTAAAGCTAATATATTTTGTGTATTATAGGACATATATGTGACTCAGTGTTATTTTATAAGAAAAGAAGTTGGTTGCATTGTTGAAATGACAAGGGAAATCCAGGATTTTGTTTACATTGTATGAATGCTTTATACCGTGTTATATTTTATTAGTTGAAATGTTAGAATAGCTATTTCCAAGACTAGAAAATAAAATAGCTGGTGAAAAGCCTGGACCTAGTGGATAAGGCATATTGTTATTCAGGAATATCATTACTTTTGCTACCACATGTACCAGATAGAGCTGTATGGTTTTGCGACCCTCCCTGTTAAACATATATAGATTATTTTGTAGTACTATTTTCTTATTTTCCATTCTCATTTAACTGTGTAGCCATACTGTAAACTTGCGCATTCATTTTTCTTACAGAACTAAATGACAAGATCTGTATTTTCGATGTTATCTCTTGAATAAATTGAAGATCCTATCAAGTATGTTTATCTTGTGCAACTTTGTAACTTTGGGGGGAGAGAATGGTTACAAATAATCTATTTCGGATTTTTCTCAGAAGAGATGTGTATGTTCTGAAATTTTCATTCTTTGCCAGTATCTTTCTACAAGACAAAATAAATGAAACAAATATATCAAAACAAGTGAAATAGAAGCTCAGCAGGAGCCTTGGATAGAATATGTTTTGCTGCAGGAGTCAGAATTTTTTTATACAGAATTCAGAATCCAATAAGGCATGACAGCACTTGATGACTTCCCGCTAATGAACCATCTGATGACACGGAGTTCATCCTTGCAGATATTATATCTCTAAAGTAAATGTTCATGTACAATTTCCAGATTAATACATCAATAATGTATTTTTATTAGCATTTCTGAACTGTTGCCTCCAAGCCACATATAATATTTATTTCATATCCATCTTCTCTTTGTCCAGAGAGCTAAGAGATTTGTGAGGCATAATAAGCTCTGATCTTCAATCATCCAGGCAAGCTTCACATCCAAGGGTATCTGAACCTGGACTTTGCATATCTAGTCCCATCACTGTAACTGCCCAAATTCTATCCCTTTATTCTCACTGTGTTTTTCTTATTATAGTCTTTCTTAGAACAGTCCTATAAGATCTGAAATTATTAACTTTACTGTCAGAAGGGAATGTAAATGAAGACCTATTCATTGGCCTGTTTATGCATTTTAAATTATTTATGCATTTTAAATTATTTGAGTCTATCTCAAGAGTGTCCAAAATTGTAAATCATATCTAAATCCAGAGAAGTCATGCTACCCCTCTATTCTGCCTTGGTCAGATCACACCTGGAATACTGTGTCCAATTCTGGGCATCACAATTTAAGGGAGATGTAGACAAGCTAGAATGTGTCCAGAGGAGGGTGACTAAAACAATCAAGGGTCTGGAGAACAAGCCCTATCACAAGGCGGCTTAATTAGCTGGGCATGCTTAGCCTGCAGAAGAGAAGACTGAGAAGAGAAATGATGGCCATGTATAAATATGTGAGGGGAAGTCATAGAGAGGAGGGAGCAGGCTTGTTTTCTGCTGCCCTGAAGACTAGGACTTGGAACAATAGCCTCAAACTACAGGAAAGGAAAGTCCACCTGAACATTAGGAAGAACTTCTTAACTGTGAGAGCTGTTCAACAGTGGAACTCTCTGCCTCGGAGTGTGGTGGAGGCTCCTCCTTTGGAGGTTTTTAAACAGAGGCTGGATGACCATCTGTCAGGGGTGCTTTGAATGTGATTTTCCTGCTTCTTGGCAGGGGGTTGGACTTGATGGCCCACGAGGTCTCTTCCAACTCTACAATTCTATATAAAATACATATAGTCACCTGCAGTTACATGATAACTCAGGTGGCTTTGGTTCCTCTTCCTCGTTTTGATGACATTACCCATTGAAACAAACCAAATCTTCTCTACAATGGTTTACTTACAGGAAACATTTTTATTACCTCTTAAATATTATGAAGATTCTGATAAAAAATCCAGCTTGCCCAAAGTTCTAACCATCTTGTAAATCTTATTGAACTGAATGCTCTGCAAATAAGTCTGGGATTTTCACAACCTAGAATTCTCCAAAACTCTAGAATTGGCTTTGAATTGATGTTAAATGAAAGTGTGGTCTGAGAAGGCTCAAAGGAGAGAGAACTAGGATTGGGATAAAAAAAATCTTCCAGCTATTCCCAGAATTATTGTTTGTAAGCCATAGTCTTTCTGTCATGACCTTTAAGTAAGTAGTTGCATATTGCATTGAAGTGCAGACATGTATGTTTGTGTGAATAGCCCTTAAATCTAAAAAAATGGTGAGAAAGAAATTATGCAACTCATGTAATAGTCAGTGTCTCCACTCTATATACTCTATATCCTTTACACTCTTATTTAAGGAGCCCCCGGTAGCACAATGGGTTAAACCCTTGTGCCAGCAGGACTGCTGGCTGAAAGGTCGGTGGTTTGTATCCAGGGTGAGCTCCTATCTGTCAACTCTAGCTTTTCATGAGAGAAGTCTCCCACGGAATGGTAAAACATCTGGGCGTTCCCTGGGCAACATCCTTGTAGATGGCCAATTCTCTCACACCAGAAGCAACTTGCAGTTTCTCAAGTCGCTCCTGACACCAAAACAAAAGAACAAACAAACAAAGCACTCTTATTTATTGTTACCTCTCAGTAGAGTAAGAATAATATTGAACTAAAGCAAAGCAGAAGATTGTTATAAAATCTGAAACAGTATGCGGTAACACTGATGTTATTTCTGTTTTAATGCCTCTTAATTCTTGCTACATAACTAGTTACATTATGCGTTCTCTAGAAGTTTTGAATAAGTGTAGCGATAAGGTAATGAATCAAGAACACTAAAAACAAATATAAATATTGCACTTGTATTACCACATGAGTCAGTTTTTTAAAAAAAAAATCCTCCTGAGACAAGTATAAATTAAGAGCTTAATGTAATATCTGATATTTTTCATGATTACTGGCATAACGGAACATTTTGAAATATAAAATTGGCATTCAGGTATTTGTCTTTTGGCAATGGGAGTCGCATGGCTAGAAAACTCCAGTGGGTACATTGCCTTCTCAGAAACGTATTTCTTCAGTTTTGTTTGTATAAAGAATCTTTTTGAAAAAAGATGGCCAGGCACAGTTGGAAAATACTACATTTCAGCATTGTTTATTTTTTAAGATATTCAAGATCTTTTGGTTCTTTGTCTTGAATGTCATAGTAAAGCTGCTGGGCAGAATTTTACCTTTTCCATCTTCTTCTACTTGGCCCATAATAACATAATTTAAACCTGTGAAGAAGGAGAGAGGAAAATGGTAAAAACAACTGCTGCTATAGTTTGGAAAATACTGGAATATGTTTGCGGGTTTCCTTTCCATTCATCTTTACTCAGTACAGTCAGAACAAGGTGCAACATACAATCGATAAATTGAGGAGATTATTGAAATCAACATATTTTCCCCACATTATATATTTCAGATAAAAATGGCTATGAGGTTGTTGGTATTATAGGGCTTGTTTCAGGATAGCTATTATAGAGGAGGAGCTTAACTAATTATCCTATCTCTCCTTTAATTCAGTATTGAACTGCATAAATTGGAATAACTGAAAATGTTTTCAGGCAGGAAATTCTAAATGAGCAAAACCTTTGCATTTTCTTAGCATTTATCATTTGGTTAAGTCTGCCTTGACATTTTGATCCACAGCTGAGCAATCTTCATTCCGACTCTTGGAAAAACTAATTATGAAAATGGGAACAGCAATGATAAAATGGGACTAATGTGTAAAACAAAATTGCATTAACTGCTCGCTTACCTCTTCTGATAAGAGGACATTGTTTACAGACAACAGTAATTTTGGCACTCAGATTTTTGCCTGCTTGCTGGATTGCTAAATTTCCTTCTTTATATACATTAATAATTGCTATTGTGGCATGTAAGCTTCCACCTTTGATGTTAGTTGTGATAACAGATCCAGTTATTACTAGGAGAGAAGATAAATGATTAATACATCAAAAATGCAGTTTATACACATTTATAACAGAAACCTGTTTGTGACACATGCATTGGTGGAAAAGGGCCTTTTATGGATACAGTTGCAAGAAGAATTCAATATTTCCTTGCATATCATCCAGCTCCTGCCAGTTTCCAAGTAACCAACATATGCTCCCACAGCCATTTACTACTGGAGTGTGGCTGAGGGAGATGTCCAGGAAGCACCCCACTATGTAACTGCTGCTATGCAAGTGAAAGAGTGGAGCTGGCATTGACCTTCAAGATCTTCAGTTGGAATCACTAATATCATTTTCTATCACATCTGGTTCTGAAAGTTGCTACATTTTCTTCCTGACTTGAGAAAAAGCCTCATTAGTGTAGCTCCTAAATGATGTTCAATTCAGTTCATTACTGGGTATTTGCCCCTGATCTGAATTGGGACGTTTGCTTGCTCCTTCCTTCAGTGTCACTGAACTGAACTGTTTTTCCAGTTGGGAGGGAATACTAGAAACTGAAAGCCTCAGGTAGGATACGCAGTAGAACTTTCTCCTCTGCCCTTCTACTAATACTTTTTAAAATGAAAGTAACAATTGACGGGGAAACTTCAAGGCAGTTGCAAGATTGTCCACAGAGAAGAGCAACAGCTTAACAATTATATCATGTAGAGAATTTCAGCTTACCATCTTAAGCACTCACACTATACAGAGTTCATTTTAAGAAATACAATTAAAGAAAATGTGAATAATCTACACCAGATGTACAGCTCAAGTCAGGAAGAAAAAGGTAAGGAAGAGGTGACATGAGTTATTCCCACTCAGCTCAGGTCAACAGTAAAGTAAAGGTAAAGTTATCCCCTTGACATTAAGCCTAGTTGTGTTCGACTCTGGGAATGGTGGTCATTTCCATTTCTAATCCAAAGAGCTAGGGTTGTCCATAGACACCTCTAAGGTCATGTGGTCGGCAAGACTGCATGGAGTGCCGTAGACACCCAGAAATGAAGAGTAGACACCCAGAAATGAACTGAAATTAATAGCTTTTATAAATTATTCCAATGAGGATTTTAAAAAGGAAGGAAAATGTAGCAGCATTTGGAAATGGAAGCAACACAAAGCAAAATTAAATGTCACAGAATAGTAAGGCACAGAATCATTACAACTGGATGAGCCCTGAGATAACTGAGCAATTGAACAAAGACACCACATATATAGCATCCTGAATAGGAAAAGAAAGGACGTGGATTTTTAAGACCCCATAAAGGTGAGAATGTTTCAATTAAGAAAATTAGACGATAGAGGACTGACAAACCTGTAAATGTCTGTGACTTGGGAACGAAGGCACAGTGGATGCAATAATGCAAATTTTTAGATTGTGATTTCTTACTGCATTGTGATATTGTAAATTATGTGACATCATGCATAATGTGGAAGGAAAAAAGACAACTTCTACATAACAGAAATATCTCCAAATGGTCTTATGGACTGAGGAGTAAATCAATACTTAAAATAAATTTATCACTGTGCACAAGACATACAGGTCGTTTCATGAAAGATGCCTGGATATAGTCCCTGAATCAACACTTTCATAGAGCAACAGTTCTCCTTCTGTTTGGTCATTTGTGTTTAGACTGGAGACCCTTTCTTCTGACACACATTCACACTGTCTTCTCATCAAAACATTTCAAGGAATATAACTGAGTCATAGACACCAGTATAAGAGATGTAGGTTGCATGATCTCAAAGAATCCCTTTATGCACTAATGGGTAGTTTACAAAATGGCCTGGCCCTCCCCTAAAACTAAACATAAATCCTTAAGTCACTGGTTGAAGAAGGGGAAAAAACCACTTTGTTGTTCTTACCAAAGTTACTTGAACAGTAATTGCTCTCAAGAGTTCCAGTCCTCTTGCATTTTTGCTGGCACAGGGCAACTGTAGGCTTCAAAGCTTTCCCCAAAAAGATCCAGAAAATAAGAGTCAGTGAAGACAGTGTTTCAGACGCCACAGAGGAATTGCACTTTTTTTGATTGTTTGTATATTTATAGTTATGTGATTAAAATGTACAGAGAGAATGAGCATTCCCAAATGTAAAACCCAAAGCACTAAAGAAAGAATTTATGTCAACCGGAGGTTCAATATATTAGTGTGTTTCACTCTTAGCTGTTGGCAAAGTTCTTCATCAGCTCTAGCCGTAAAAAAGGCATGTAGTAGCTGGTGCTGATCAAGCCTTGGGTTCATGGAGGCATAAGTGACATTCTTGAGACCCATCTCTGAACCTCTAATTCACAAGAAGCAGAAAATCCTTTACGAACGGACTTCCTCATAGAAGTAATCAGGCATAACACAAGTAGTGAGTGTACTCAAATGGAAAAGATTGCTAGTCTTGCAAATCTCTTGGAGCTGTTGGGCAGCCTTCACTCATATGTCCATTTACTTTCTGAAAATCTGTATGTGACCCTTTGCAATGTTCAAATTTGCACAGAAAAATTATAATGTTCAAAATATGATGATACAGACAATCTGAAATTACTCCATACATAAATATTCAGGATTGAAGTATCTGCTCCTTAATCCAAAAGAAATCCTCCTCCAGAACCATAATTAGACTAAGAAGATCATAGCAGAGAAGTCAGTGATACTAAAGTTTTTACTCAAGCTATTTTCCCCCTCTAAAGCAGTTATGTAGAGGCTTTATACTCACTTGTGGTGGCAGGAGACAGCGTGGTGGTGGCTGGTGATGCGGTTGTGGGTAATTTCTTGGGTCTGAATTTGTAGTGCCCAATAAAGCCATCAGCAGTTAAACTTAAATCCGAAAAAAACTGAACAAGCAGCTCATTTCTCTCAGAGGTAATAGGCCTGAAAGAGAGTAACATAACCTCTGTTAGTTATTTGCAGCCAACAGATTTTGTAACACGGTGCAGTTTGTAACATATTACATATGCAAATATTTTGACTCAACTTGAACTAGATCTTCCTTCTTAATAAAATTTCTTTTCATATAGAACATAAAGTTTCCTGTTACCGAGTATGTACTTGGGTATGCCAAATGAAGTGAGTTTCACAAGTCCTGAAGAAATCTGTGTCAACGCAAATATTTACTTAGGCTCTTAGAAGCATAGTAACATTCAGACAGGGAAGGAGAAAACAAGGGGTTCTAAACTGGAGTATTACACAACACATATCCACTACTTCACAAAAAGACTTGTGTACAATTTGCCTTAAACTGACTCTACAAAACTGGAAACATTTATGCATATGTTTAGCTTTATGAATAGAGTTATACAAGCTTCAGATTTAATTCTGAAATTCTCCACTAGGTTTCATTTGCTCCAATCTTTATACATTTGCACTAGCGATTCAGATTAAACTTCTCTAGAAGTTTTAAAGCAGAGGCTGGATGGCCCTCTATTGGGGATGCTTTGTTTCTAGGTTCCTGCATGTCAGGGGTCTGGACTGGATGGCCGTTGTAGTCTATTCCAATTCTATGATTCTGTGATTCATAACTGATCTCTTTCTTGATATTTCCTTATATAATCCTTTACCATTTCCCTCGCTAATGTTCACCACACACAATCATCTTTCTTTCCTTCTAATTTCCTTCTCTATGCTACTCATACCACCAGGTGACTTTATCATGCTTTCTCTTACTTCTTGCTCTCTCAAATTCCACTTTACACCTACTCTGAGAGAGCACTATGCTGCTAACAGTAGCCAGTGATTATATCTCTTTGCCAAGTAGGTGTTAAGCACCAGAAGCACTTGGGGAAAGTCCTCCACTACTGACTCACAACTTGGAGTATAATATAGCAGATGGAAATTCATCTGGTAAGGATACATACCACAGTTCCACATATGAGCATCTTTTATACAGCTGTGCATACCTGAACTTTTATTATGTTTCTATTTTTTTCATGTCAGAAGCAACTTGAGAAACTGCAAGTAGTTTTTGGTGTGAGAGAATTGGCTGTCTACTGGGACGTTGCCCAGGGGGTGCACGGATGTTTTACCATACTCTGGGAGGCTTCTCTCATGTCACCGCATGGGAAGCTGGAGCTGTCAGATGGGAGCTCACCCCATCTTATGGATTTGAACCACCGACCTTCAGGTCAGCAGTTAAGCTGGCAAAAGGATTTAACCCATTGCGTCACTGTGGTTCCCATGTTTCTATGAAAATGGAGAAAATGTATACATATGCCTCCTGCACATTTCCAAGACTGAAATAGAATCACTTGCAATTTAGCATAAATACTGAGTGAACTAGAAGTTTGTGCAACAGAGGGTTCAGATTTGAGGAAGACAGAGGTAGACTGTCCTGTTAACCTTTATGGTTCTCCTTCCATGAGAAGACTATAAAGGACATATAATTGGTTGAAGTAGGGATCAGAAGATGTTATGCTGCCTTTTCCTTTACCTGCACTGCATGGATAGATGAGTCAAAAGGGTCACTCAGGAATGGATGCCACTACATGAAGGAAGTGGTGTTATATGCTGAGGCCCAGAAACACTGAGATGTATTAAAAATAGCCTCTCATGGGTAGAAATAGGCAATCAATCCAACATCTGACCAGTATAGCACCATTCAGTAGGCCTCCACATTCAGTGGAGTTGGGGGCAGAGGACCCCCATGAAAGTGAAAAACCACAAATTGCTCTTTTTCTAACCAGAGACAGAACACTTTTCTAAAACTTTTTAGGCATTCCAGCATGGTCAGTGCCTGCTGGAAGCTGACCAAGGACTTAAGAGATTCATAGAGAAGAGTTCTCTCTAGAAGTCTCTATGTCCTCCAGCATGATCATAGAATTACACAGGAGGACCTAAATAATGTAGAGAAGGCATTTTGGATGTGTTGATTTTGTCATATGGGAGTTGTAGTTGTCGGGATTTATAGTTCACCTACAATCAAAGAGCACTCTGAACTCCACCAATGATGGAATTGAACCAAACTTGGCGCACAGAACTCCCATGACCAACAGAAAATACTGGAGGGGTTTGGTGGGCATTGCCTTTGAGTTTTGGAGTTGTAGTTCACCTACATCCAAAGAGGACTCAATGATGGATCTGGACCAAACTTGGCACAAATACTCAATATGCCCAAATGTGACCACTGGCAGAGTTTGGGGAAGATAGACCTTGATATTTGGGAATTGTAGTTTCTGGGATTTATAGTTCACCTACAATCAAAGAGCATTCTGAACCCCACCAATGATAGAATTGGGCCAAGATTCCCACACAGCACTCCCATGACCAACAGAAAGTACTGTGTTTCCTGATGGTCTTTGGCGATCCCTCTGACACCCCCTCACAACCTCCCCAGGGGTCCAAACCACCAGGTCGAGAAACGCTGATCTACACCAATATCAGTAACCAATGTATACAATAACCCTCTGTTTTTGTACAGCAAACAAGATTCTTGAAATGTATTTATAACCAAGGTAGTATTTAACACTAATGAAATAAGACTTTGTTATACAGATTTGCTGTTATAATGAAGGTTAAGACAACAGAAGTCCAATATAAATACATAAATTATAACTGTTGATTAATGGAAAGGTCTGCGGAGTGAATTCAAAAAGGTGATATTGAAATAGAAGTTGTTTAGTTGTCTTTGGCCCAACCCTGCAAACACATTTTAAAATAAAACGAATAGCATTACTTACGCTGGTGGACTGTCTCCACAGTATTTTCCAATTCTCCTAGCATCATTAATTTCTCCACCATTAAAGACGGTCACATAGTCATATCTGCAGTAGTTATCTCTCTCCACATCAAATTTTTCAAACTTTAACTCTATTAGCTGCAGGAAAAGGATTAAGAATCTTATGAAAACATTTTTGTAGCTAATTATCCATAAGAACATTGCTTCAAAATTAAAACATTTTATATCCTACTTCTTTTCAAGTCAAGCTTAAAAACCGCAAAGATCTTCAAAGGCTAGATAGTTTAGCCATTGCATTTAATCCTCTTCTTCGGAATTCTAAAAAAGGAGTCCTATAATATTTTTTGTACAGTGCTTCAATGAATGAGTGAGTGTGCTACGCATTATGGATTCAGATATACTCAGCAAGTCCTACCTTGTTATTTGCAGTTGTTTTAAGTTTTAGTACACATTAAAGCAACAATATTACCAAGAAGACAGTTTGAAAATGTAGTTCAATGTATCACAAAAATGTAAATATAAGCAAATAACAGAAAGAAGGAACTATAGCAAATGAACGATATATACAAGGCAGAGGAAAATCAAAGCACAACAGTCAGATTTCTTGCTAAACCAATGGCTAGGGCAAACGGGCTATTTTGTGATTGTGATTTTGGGATTACTTCCATGACTCTGTATGTGAAAATAGTTTGTCAAGGTATCTTATTTCTACATGGTTGAAACTGCTTTTAAGGATACCATAGCATGCAATGACTTCTAAAACTTGTAATGGGAGATAGTGGCCAAAGAGGCTACTGGGAACACAGATGTGGATTTAACATTCAAACATGCAGTGAGCCCTCCACTTTCAATAGAGTGAGGGGCACAAGGCCCCTGCAAAAGTGGGGAAACCACAAATAAAAAAAACAATTTTTAACCTGAGAGAACTCTTTTGTGAATCTTTAGGTTTTCCAGCACAACTTTACAGTTAAAATCTGCCAGTAATTGACCATAGGATCACACTGGAAAACCTAGAAATTCCTAGAGGTGTTTTTTCTAGGAATCTCCAGGTCCTCCATTTTGGCTCTTTGACCAACATCCACTGGAAGTTGATCAAAACATATATATGTGTGTGAGTCAATATAAATAATTGCCCATTGTGCCTACAATGCCACCACACTGTAGATGCTACCTGTACCAAGATTGCAACCCAAGAGTTAAAGGGGACAAAGGGCTTCCCAGATTATACTTGAGCTTCATTTTAAGATTACAATGCTTTCCAACTCTTCCCTTTGTTTATAGCAGTGGTTCCCAACCTATGGTGGGTGGACACCAGTGGTCTGCAAGAAGTAAAATATGGCCCATGACTTCAATGTTATTACACTGTTGCAACGAGAGTGATTGGTCTCGTGAAACCCTCTTATAGTGCCAAGGCTTATTAAATATAGTTTTCTGGATGGCATATGTTCTGTATCAGAAACTAGAGCTGATGTGGTCTATCCAGTGCAACTTTCTGAATCAGCACCCCAGATAAACTAACCGAATCTAAAGTTGACCAAAAACTGATTTGTAACCCTTTTGGTAATAATGTTGGGGAGTGGTCCCTGGTTAAAAAAAGGCTGGGAACCACAGGCTTATAATGACCAAGAGCAGGCTTCAATAACTATGTAAATTAAGACTCTGCTAAAATAAGATTTCCTCTTTGATCGCCTTATTGTCGGAATCTTTCCAAGTAAAATAAAAGCAAAATAAATGTTCATGAAGTAAGGTGAAACCTTGATTCATTAGTACAGAATTCTTCACAAGAGGCATCATTGAAGAATACTGAAAATACGTCTACTCAGATATTCACAGCCTCGTAATAAAGACAGATTCTTGAGAATAAGAGTAAAAGATGAGGAGGATAATGAGAAGATATAATTCGAGAAGAGCTGGAATAGATTTTCAGACACATTTGCGAGCAATCAAGTGCTAATTTATCATGTTAAATTAAATCACCGGCTTTCCATAAATGGTTAAATCAGGTGGACACGGAAAGGAAGGAATGTGGATTAAAGATGATTCCAGGAAAAGGCTAAGCTGATGCACATCTCCCAGTTCAAGAAAATGTTATCCTGATCAATGCAGGAAGGGTAATGAGAAGAGTGGGGGAAACTGAGGATCAGAAGAATATATTTATCTTGCTCAGTGCTTTCATTTGGAGGATTAGGATCATGAGAAGCAGATTAAAAGGCAATGCAAAGTGGCATGGAAAAGGTTTCAGAAAGTTAAATGTAGATATGAAAAGCAACCAACCCACCAATATGCTTGAAGATTAAGGTATTCAATCACTATGTGTCTCCTGCCATAATTAGGGAGCAGAAACCTAGGCAGCAACAAAAAAGACAGAGCAAAGATTGAGTACCCTGTCATAGCAGGATAAAGCATGTTAACAGGACCGGTATATGGTGAATGACAAATGGATATGAAAATAGCCAATATGGTTCAGTCCCAAGAAATGAAATGGTAACATGCTCAGTACTACAAAGAGCAAATAGATTAGTACGTTAGAATCTGAAAGTATGAAGAGCAAGGGGAACTGTTAAGACTTTGGCAATATTTAGACAATGCTGTGTTTTGTACCTGAGGTAAGACGAATTAACACTGACATAATATATTTGAAGAGAAAACATACCATTCTTTATCTTAAACTGGTGCTACTTGTGTGTAATTTACTTTAGTGCTCAGAAAGGTTTCATGTGCACTAAACCTAAATCTGTGAACAAAACTATCTTTCATTTTGTAAAATGTTCTAATCTAAAAGCATGAACTAAAATAAATAAGCAGAAAATAATGTTCACAAAGAAAGGATATTCCTGTACATAAGATAAAATAGAGAAAACAGAGAGACGGGGAGGAAAATTACTCAGAACAAAGTATCTAAGGCAAGAATATGATTTTTCTAAGACTTTTAAAATAAGTAAACAAAACATAATTGTATCCTAGCTGTATTTTTTCAATGGATTTTGATGACAAAAGGATACACTTAGAAGGCCCATACCTACACAAATACAGAAAATTGCCAGTACTAAAAGACAAACTTGTTGTGTACCTATAATGTGCAGAAGGAATTCTAGATATCATAGCAACAGACCACTATTTCTATCAGTATCTCCTATGGAACTCAGATCATGTTATCGTTAGTACCATTATTTCTCCATCTGGACAGCTTAATGACAAATAAAAGATTCTGCCAATCAAAGAAAACATTTGCTAAGTGACAAGCAGAGTTGTTTTCGCCGCCCAAATCAGAGTGAGCGTATCTACTGTTATCTAATTAGCAGTTACAAATCACACAAGAAGCCATTGGTAAGATTGTGTCTTTGTACAAAAATCAGTAGTTCACCAGTGGACCTCTTTGCCCCAGAGTGTGGTGGAGGCTCCTTCTTTGGAGGTTTTTAAACAGAGGCTGGATGGCCATCTGTCGGGGGTGCTTTGAATGTGATTTTTCTGCTTCTTGGTTAGACTGGATGGCCCACAAGGTTTCTTCCAACTCAATGATTCTATGTTTCTATGAGGGTGAAACAGGTGAATGCTAGAAACAGGCCCGTAGACAGAATTTTGATTCGGGGGGGGGGGGGGCTGAGTCTGAGTGAAAGAGGGTCTACCCTAGCAAACCTTTTGTATCGTTACCCCAATACCCCCATGCATATGGGATATATTGAGCATGGTGATCAGATCATGATATGAATAAACATAACAGCTTAAATAATGTACCAGTAAGGCCTTCTCACAGACCACCATGAGAATTTCGGGGGGGGGGCTGAAGCCCCAAGCCCCCCACCCCCCATCCTGGCTACATGCCTGGCTAGAAACCTTGTTGGGATATTATGGCTGGAGGAATTTTACATACAAAAGAAAATATGGAAAAAAGCTAGGATTTTGCACACAACTTACCTGATTCTTTGGAGCCACAATATGCCATGAACAGGTTACTCCTGCTGGGTAATCGCGGTCAGGCCAGTTAGGTGTTTTAAAGGATCCAGAAGGCTTATCTAGTCTTCCACCACAGTACTGATCTCCTAAAAATATACAATATGCTGGTATTTCCCAAAGTCCAGTTCCATGTAACTTTATTGCCCACACTTTCTTATAAGGTAGACAGTGAGTCTAACTAATCACATATATTTTTCTGAACCCAACTGTATTAGATAAGTCATACAAAAATTGATGAGTTGGCAGAATTGAAGAAAGGTGCAATATCGAAGGTGCTCAATCGGACACATATCTGCTATCAACGATAGAGCAATTGTAGTGGATGTCTATGATAAAGTCCAAAGGTGTTTGTTTCATCTTAAAGACTAAGACTAAGAATGTTTATTTAGCATTAAGTGTGTGGACTCCAGATCACCGCACACGTAGGCTAGAGTCAATGGAAACATTTTAAAAGTCTTTAAGGCTTGTCAGGACTCATTGCTGTTACGATTACATAGTTTCTGTAGAAACCGCATGTCAAAACCTCTTATCAGGCCTAATCTATAAGGATTAGGGATCATGGACAAGAATACAGTTTAATTTTAGCAAGTGAAACTCCAACCTCCAGGTATGTTTTAATAAAGTGCTATAGATTTAGATGAGAAACTAAACTATAAACTGATCACCTAAATATAACCAACTTGCATGTCTAGTCAATAAATAACAAAAGAATTCCCCTCCCAAATGCATCTAAACAAACATGCCACAATATTTTTTAACAGCAGCTATATTTCAAACACTTGAATCTGCACAGTAATCCCATCATATTACTGTAGACTCTCAGTTAACCAGCAACCTTAAGGATTGGCAGATTCTGGATAAATGTAGTTTTCGGTTGTTTGAGTGTTACTAAGAAAAATAGGCCTAACTATAACTAATACTAGACCCCATACTATATCAAAAGCTTTGTATTGACTTGTTATTTATATTGAAATAAAACAATTAATTCCTGCTTAACTGTTTTATTTTGTTTTATTTTGCTTTAGGTATTGTATTGTTGTATGTGTTTTGGGGCTTTGGCCTGTGTAAGCCGCATCGAATCCCTTGGGAGATGCTAGCGGGGTACAAATAAAGTTATAATAATAATAATAATAATAAAAGTAAATAAAGACAAATAAAGACAAACTTGACTTAATGTAACACTATTCTGCTGTATTAAAAAAACTGATTTGACAGTATTATAAAAATATTTTTAATTTAATTTTTATTCAAAGTATTCTTTCTTCAATCTTTTTGTCTGGTTGCTTGAGAGCTCCAGTTGCTTGAGAGTCATGTTTTCTAGATATTGACTGGATACTAAATAAACTTAAATCCTAGTTAAATCTCCTTTTAAAGATTCTATATGGAAGTGTAGACTTTAATGCGTTTCTAATCGTAAATTTTAAGGATTTGCAAAATACCTCTGTGATGTGGAACTGTTGCAGAAAATTTTGCCACGAAGCCATTTCCAGCTGTATTGGCATCTGAAACCATTTGTACCAACATTTTGTTGCTGTTGGCCACAAGCGCACCAGGTTTTAGCGTGCCACAGAACCTGCCAAGTCGCTGGCCATTTGTGTGTCCACTGTAAACATCCACAAAATCGTATCTGCAAAGGTTGTCACTTTCCAAGTCTATAAATCTAAAAGAAAGGAGAACTACTTTTCCTTCTGGAACCTGCAGAAACAAAGGAAAATACATCTCAAGGCACACAGTTTATGAGGCACTTCTAGGGTATAGATCTTAGCCTTTATATATTTTACATGCTGTCTTTTACAAAATGAGTATCAAAGTCTTCTGAAGCTCCCATTGCTCTCATATTAAAACCACATCCTAATACCTGTCCTTCTGTTTCATAAAAATGAGAAAGTAAGTTCCTCCCAGCTCACATCTTCAGATCAACACAATATTAATTATTCAATGATACCACATACCTTTTATTGTGTGGTTTCAATCTTAACTGTAACTTTTTAAAGTTCTTAGTGCTATTTTCACATAGCAACATTTTCCAATCAATTTAAAGCATATTTTAACAGCCCTTTCAAAAGGTTAGTTTTTGCTTAGATGCTCACTTGAAAAAGTCCTCTTTTTGCATAACGAAGAAACATTAATACTTATATGCCCCCACTATACTACGGATACAGTGTGTGGCATATGTCGGCACAACTAATGAAATCTCTTTCATATGTGTGTGTGTAAGATTAATTCCCCATCCTGCTATTTGTAGGAAATCAATACATATTTTCAATTTGGGTATTTGAATATATTTAGTAGCACTCTTCCTTTCATAATGATAGATTTGGTTGTTTTTTGTGTTTACTTTTTTGGTTTTTGATCCCTTGTAGGGCTTTGGTAGTTAGAAAGGTGGCATAAATATACTTATTCATATAATGTGTGTTTCACCTTACTGCCCAAACTTGGGTTAAGTAAGGGCCCGTCCAGAGAGTACCTTCATCCCAGGAGCTTCCGCAAGAAACAGGAGGGTGGCCAGATGCCGTTCCCTGTAAATCGCTACAAAGCAATTGCTACAAAAGACAAAAACTGCAGGATTTCCAGGTGTGGAAATATTACGGGTTTGAGCTGAATATGCGAATCTCCGCATGTCTGTGTGTCCCTGCAATTTTATCTGTGTTTGTCCCCAGCTTTTAGACGTTTGTTCCTGATCAGTTGGTTCCTAAAAAGAAGGTGACACTTGAGTAGAAGGCAAAAACTTTGTTTGTGTGCCAGAAACTTCATGAAACGTGTGGAGGGCACTTTTTCTCTGGCCAGGACAAAGTTGTGTCCTCCTAGTCAATGTTGTACATTTTTTCACAAGAAGAGCAATCAGGAACAACCATGTATAACCCAAGAACAGCACTCTGTTTTTTGATGCCACAAGTACACATCCAAATCTATCTGGACAGATAGGCAGGCAGACAGGTTCTAAAACGTGTCAATAATGACAAAGTTTTGTTCTTGGCTTGAAAGTGTGTGTTCCTGTTTAAATGTGCAGTGCTGACTTGGGCAGAAGTGGTCATACCACGTAAACTTTGCTTGTGTGGCAGATACTTCATGAAATGTCTGAAGGGCACAGTATCTCTGGCAAGGACAAAGAACAGATTGCAGTGATTTACTGCAGTGATTCTTTGCATATCCACAAAACCGCCAAAGTTTCTAGTGCAAGTTCTGTGGGCTGCCATCTTGGGAGCCTCTAAATCTCACTACAAAGCATCAAGTTTGGACAACGAGGCAGAAATCCTGGGACCAACAGGTCTGTATGTGGACCTCTTCTGAAGTCCTGGGATTATTATTTTTTGCCTCTTTTTAAAACACGTGATTTAGTGCTGTCTGGAAGAGCCCTCAGTAAAAAGGCACCACTGCTCATACATCTGCTCTGGCCTGCTAGAAACCTTTTTGTATGGTTCCCGCGGGTAATCACACCCCTTTATAATCAGTCTCTTTCAACCCAGTATCTTCCAAGTTGTCAAAGTTCAACTAATATTATCTCCAACATGCATTTTTGAGGTGTTTGAAGCTATAGTTCAAAACATCCAGAGGGCACCAGACTGGGATAAGCTGACCTAGATGGCAATGTCTTCTTTCATATGGTATATGCATCACAGGAAGCAATAAAAACAGTTATAGCTAAATTTTAAATCAGTGATCAGTGCCTGTCTCTTTCTTGACAGCGACAAAGAAGAAAACAAGAAAGAAATGATAAATCAGCTGCATTTCTTTTTCTCCTCCACCCTTTCTCTAGAGAGCAAGTAACCCAATTCATTCTTTTCCATGGAAAAATTGTCTAAGTATTATACGTACATGGCTTCTCTCTTTGCCCTTATTTATTTGCTCCCTAGTAAAACACTGAGTGCAAAATACTCACCATACTCCCAGAAAGAGGCACCAATGCCTCCCCATAGAATCAGACACAAAGTCTTGATGTAGGGTGCATCTGCATCAGTGGTTCTTAACCTGTGGGCTATGGACCACCAGTGGGCCACAGGGATGAAAATTTGGTCCATGAGCCTCCTTCCTCTTTATTTTATTTTTTTCTGCTCCTTTTGCACTACCTACCACTCCCTCCCTGTCACTGACCATGGCATATATTCTGTATCAGAAACTAGAGCTGATGTGGTCTATCCAATGCAATTTTCTGAATCCACCCCCTAAACTGAATCTAAAGTTGACCAGAAACTGATTCATTACCCTTTTGGTACTAATGTTGAAAAGTGGTCCCTGATCAAAATGGTCCCTGGTAAAAAAAGGTTGGGAATCACTGATCTATACACTGTAGAAGTAATGCAGTTTGGCATCTATTTAACTACCACAGTTCAATGCTATGAAATCATGGGAGTTGTATTTTGGAGAGACACCAGCACTCTTGAACCAAGAAAACTACAACTCCCATGATTCTGTAGCATTGAGCTGTGGCAGCTAAAGTGATGCCAAACTGCATAAACTATACAGTGTAGATGCGCCCTCACATGCAGTTCAGTTTTCCGTCTTATGCTGCTTGCCTTTAAAACAAAACAAACAAATATATTAATAAAATAAAACAAAACTAAATCTCTCTCTTTCCATTCTCTTTCTGTGTAAATTGGAAAGGTAATGTATGGCCTTCCAGATGTGATTTCACCATAACTCCAGCATTGGGTAGAGCTATTGGGAAACTGCGATCCAATATTATCAGGAGAGCAACATACTGTATTTCCATTTTAGAGAGAGTAGGAACAAACACTTCCAGCAGCTAAAATACTTTGCAGAATGCCAGATTCTCCCCCACCCCACTTTTTTGCATGGACAATTTGCATGAACAGATGTTGGCTTAGTTTCAAAAATGCCATTATTGAATACATACAAAGATTTATTTTTCAGCGCGGAAGGGCTCTGCAGTTCTTGTAGCAGTATCTCTCATGCAAATATTTGCTTAAGGTATTCCCTAAGAGGGAAAAGAAAATGTTCTCTCTGTGCTAGCAAACTTTGCTCAAAAAACCAGAAGTGAAACTATTTTTCAGATGTTTGAATCTAGTTATTCAGGATCAAATTCTTCATCCATTTGAGTCAAGAGGATGATAGCTCGGCTCAATGGATTAATTTAATGAGATTCATATTCTGTCTTGGTAATAATTTCCATCTCATCTGTCTATGCTCTGATGTTTAAATGTATGTAGTCAGACAAAGGCCAATGAGTTGCTGTGAGTTTTCTGGGCTGTACAGCCATGTTCCAGAAGCATTCTCTCTTGACATTTCACCCACATTTATGACAGGCATCCTCAGAGGTTGTGAGGTTTGTTGGAAACTAAAAAAAGTGGGATTTATATATCTGTGTAATGTCCAGAGTGGGAGAAAGAACGCTTTAATTCTCCCATCCTGAATATTTATCTCTCTCTCTCTCTCTCTCTCTCTCTATATATATATATATATATATATGGCCTTAAGGTAGCATTTCTCAATCTGAGGTCGAGACCCCTGGGGGAGAGTCATGAAGGAGTGTCAGAAGAGTTACCAAAGACCACCAGAAAACACAGTATTTTGTGTTGGTCATGGGGGTTCTGTGTAGGAAGTTTGGCCCAATTCTATCATTGGTGGGGTTCAGAATGCTCTTTGATTGTAGGTGAACTATAAATCCCAGTAACTACAACTCCCAAATGTCAAGGTCTATTTTCCCCAAACTCCTTCTGTGTTCATATTTGGGCATATTGAATATTTGTGCCAAGTTTGGTCCAGATCCATCATTGTTTGAGTCCACAGTGCTCTCTGGATGTAGGTGAACTACAACTCCCAAAACTCAAGGTCAATGTCCACCAACCCTTATAGTGTTTTCTGTTGGTCATGGGAGTCATGTGTGCCAAGTTTGGTTCAATTCCATCATTGGTGGAGTTCGGAATGCTCTTTGATTGTTGGTTAACTATAAATTCCAACAACTACAATGCTCAAATGACTAAATCAATTTTTTGAGTGATGGTCACTCCTTGGGTTAGTAGGTGTCTTGTGGCCAAATTTGGTGGCAATTAGTCCAGCAGTTATTGAGTTATGATGTCACTCAAAACAAACAGAGCTTTTATATATGTGGGTGAAACATCAGGAGAGAATGCTTCTGGAACATGGCCATACAGCCCAGGAAACTCACAGCAACCCTGTGATTCGACAAATGCCAATGAGTTTCATATCTGATTACCTATACTACAACTGTCTTCTTTTACAGCCAACAAAACAGTTTTTGGTCCTCATTACTCTTCATAAACTGATGGATTCACACTCCTGGTTCTTTTTCTTTGACTCAAGTTATATCCACATGTAACAGAATTATAGTTCTGTCCTTGTATTACTGTAGACAACCATTATTTCCCCAAACTTGTTAAGGAGTGTTTAATGGTCCATGAAGATTGGGGAAAGGAGCTAAAATCTAACATTACTTATTGTAGTTAGTATAAAAAACTTTCCAAAGCATGCTTCTTCTCACCAGTAGCGGAATGGAATTCTGCAAATTATCTGCTTAAAGAACTACGATGACCTTGGATGCTATTTTTATAGTTTCTTTTCATCCACTGTTCTGCGTATTCTTAGATTACTCACTCTAAATCACCAAGGACCATCGAAAAGGGCATTATTTCCAAACCATTGCTATGTAATGCTTTGTTTTTTGTGTGCTACAAATTACTATATGAGAGACAATAACTGTAACAGTTTTGGTAGTACAACAGGTCAACTGCTATGCCAAGGCTGTAATATAAAATGCTGTATGACCAGCATCTATAGTTATCAAAATAAAGGCACTCTGCAGTTGGCTGGGAGCAGCAACAGCACTGACAGAGGAACAATCCATCCCCCTTTGCCTCTGCCAATGAAGAAGAGAAAACAGGATGACAGTAGTGCCCTGAGTGGACAGCGAATCATTGAAATTGGACCCAATCCTGTTATCCACACTGCTGCAAAGCACTAGGGATTTTCTGGAACTCCAAGCAAACTCCATAGCATTCCCCGACTTTTCCTAACACAGGGCAGGGCTGGATTAGTCTGCTTAGCCTGCAACACCTGCTGGAAGTGAAGAAATATCATGGGGACAGTCAAGAGCCAAAATAGCGAACGTCCAGGTTTTAATGCAATGGGCTAAACCCTTGTGCCAGCAGGGCCGCTGACCGAAAAGTCAGCAGTTTGAATCTGGGGAGCGGGGTGAGCTTCCATTCATCAGCTCCAGCTTCTCATGGGGGGACATGAGAGAAGCCTCCCACAGGCTAGTAAAACATCTGGGCGTCCCCTAAGCAATGTTCTTGTGGACGGCCAATTCTCTCACACCAGAAGCGACTTGCCATTTCTCAAGCTGCTCCTGACATGAAAAAAAAAAGTCACGTAGATGAGTTTTGAAAAGGGTAGCTGTCTTGGGGATAAAATGGCAGCACATATTCTAAAATAAATGCCTAAAATAAAAAGTCCTAGACCCAGCAGTCTACATACAAGCATAGACTGCATTATTTATTTTGGTTTTTTGCATACACACACTACTAATATGCTACCAATTTATTATCACAGCCATCCAACAAATAATTCCAACCACCAGCCACAGAGGAAAAATTGCATATTATTCTCTTTAAAGTGTTTCTGATGCCAAATTTCTTACTGTGATCTTCCAAGTACATTTGGTGTTTGGGGGGTAGAGTCCTGGAAACCCTTCACTCCCAATAAATCCTGATGCTCCTGTAAGAATTCCACCACATTTAAAGGACCTGGGAACAAAAAGAAAGCTTTACTGTTGAAAAAGCATTACCAGTGCCGAGCAGAAAATTGTTATCTGAAATTGAGACCTCAAAAAGTTGGAAGAATGACCTCTTGGTACCTTGCTTGACTTTGGAAGGCACCCCAACTTCTCCTTTTCCCAGCACCACATAAAGTAGTGGTTCTCAACCTTCCTAATGCCATGGCCCTTTAATACAGTTCCTCGTGTTGTAGTGACCCCACAACCATAAAATTATTTTTGTTGCTACTTCATAACTATAATTTTGCTACTGTTATGAATTGTAATGTAAATATCTGATATGCAGGGTGTACTTTCAATGTTACTCCTCTTTCTTCCTGTGATTCGGTCATGGAGGGACCACTCTACCCCTCTCTAAGTCCCTGTCCTCCCCCCGGCCCCTCTTTCTAGACTCCCCTCACCTTCTCTCTTCTCACCTCCACCTCCACCTCCTTCTCCTCTTCCTTCCTCTTTCCTCTTGCTCCAAAACAAACCTCACCTCCATTGCTCCTGTCTTTTCCTCCTAAAATGGCAGAGGGGGTGGGGCAGAGTGACATCACTACCTTCCTCCAGAGAAGAAGAAGAGGCCTCTGGGAAGCAAAGGGGGAAAAGTTAGCGGTGTCTGGGTTCCTAAGACCATCAGAAATATGTGTTTTCTAATGGTCTTAGGCAGGGGTCCACAAACTTTTTAAGCAGAGGGCCAGGTCACAGTCCCTCAAACTGTTGGAGGGCCGGATTATAATTTGAAAAATAAAACATGAATTCCTGTGCACGCTGCACATATCTTATTTGTAGTGTAATAAACACTTAAAAACAATACAATAATTAAAATGAGGAACAATGTTAACAAATATAAACTTATTAGTATTTCAATGGGAAATGTGGGCCTGCTTTTGGCTGATGAGATAGGATTGTTGTTGTTGTTGTGTGCTTTCAAGTGGTTTCAGACTTAAGTTGACACTGAGCGAGGGCCGGGTAAATGACCTTGGAGGGCCGCATCCGGCCCCCGGGCCTTAGTTTGAGGACCCCTGGTCTTAGGTGACCCCCCATAAAAGCATCATTTGACCCCCAAAGGGGTTGTGACCCACAGGTTGAGAACCGCTGTTATAAGGAGTTCAATCTACTAGAATTTCCTTTTTTAGCCAAGCCCTTAGACTCAGTACTGAGATTGGAATACAGATTTACTCAGAAGGGATATTTATATGCCACACTGTACAAAAGATCTTAGTACAGTTTACAGTAATTTTCTACAATATTAGATTCTGCTCTGTTTCCTATTTACATTACATTTCAATTATTTTGTTTGTATTGCATAACATAATTCTGCTTTAATGGAGAATGACAAACAACTATGCAAAATATTAAAACACCAACATTGACTGTTGGAAATCCCACTGGCTTTGATCTGGCTGCAGAAATATTGCTTGCACAATATATTACTTGCTTAAGGGTCATCTGAGCTAAACACTTTTTAAAAAGAAGCTGCAATTGCCAGCATCCAGTGTGAATACAAATCTGAGATGATGTGTACTCATGATTCATCATTTTGTCCACTGCCAAGAACTTCAATGTCTGCTCTGGGACACTGCTTTGTAAACTGCAGCAGAGAGCTTCCTTCAGTTATGGATTAAAGTGGCCTATAAGAGGCACTGGGAATGCCAGAAAACAGCACTAATCAAGAAAGGAGAAATGTACAAATAACACTGGCCAACACACATATCAGTGCCTCAAATGTTAGCCATGTTTCTGGATATATTTGGCTTGCTGATACCAAAAATGGCACCCGTTTTGCCCTATTAGCTCTAGTTTTTGCAATATAGAACATACTGTATATACTTGAGTATAAGCCGACCCAAATATAAGCTGAGGCACCTAATTTTACCACAAAACCTATTGACTCAAGTATAAGCCGAGGGTAGTAAATTAAAAATATTAAAAAAACAACAGATCAACAATTGGGTCACACAGTTTACAGAAACCCCACACACAGATAGATATCTACACAAAAACTCCAACCATCACCCAAGTCAAAAAAAGAAACACCATTAAAGCCTTGGCAGACTGTGCAAAAAGAATCTGCGAACCACACCTCCTCCAAGATGAACTAAACCACCTCAACTGGGCTCTCCAGGCCAATGGATACTCCACCTCAGACATCAGAAGAGCTGCAAGACCGAGAACAAGCCATGAGAGTAAAGATGAAGATCCCCCCAGAGGAAAAGTGTTCTTGCCATACATCAAGGGAACCACTGACCGCATAGGGAAGCTGATGAGGAAACACAACATACAAACCATCTACAGACCCACCAAGAAAATCCAACAAATGCTACGTTCAGCAAAGGACAAGAGGGATCCTCTCACCTCTGCAGGAGTCTACTGTATACCATGCAGCTGTGGACAAGTCTACATAGGGACCACCAAACGCAGCGCCCAAACACGAATCAAGGAACATGAAAGGCACTGCAGACTACGTCAACCAGAGAAGTCAGCCATAGCAGAGCACCTGATGAACCAACCTGGACACAGCATATTATTTGAGAACACAGAAATGCTGGACCACTCTCACAACCACCATGTCAGACTACACAGAGAAGCCATTGAAATCCATAAGCATGTGGACAATTTCAACAGAAAGGAGGAAACCATGAAAATGAACAAAATCTGGCTACCAGTATTAAAAACTCTAAAATTACAACAGCAAAACAACAGAGAGGAAACAATCAGAGACAGCTAATCACCTCTGAACAAAAGATTCCCCCAGGCACTAGCAAGCCACACCAAAAAAAACTGCCAGGCCATCCAATGCTAATCAAGGTGGTCAGTTGAAACATTCACACCTAGCTCCAGCAGACAAGGGCTCTTTGTCCCACCCTGGTCATTCCACAGATATATAAACCCATTTTCCTAGTTCCAACAGACCTCACTACCTCTGAGGATGCTTGTCATAGATGCAGGCGAAACATCAGGAGAGAATGCCTCTAGAACATGGCCATATAGCCCGAAAAAACCTACAACAACTATATATAGATAGATACCATTAAATTACATTAATTGAGGCATCCATAGGTTAAATGTTTTTGAATATTTATATAAAACTGTAATTTAAGATAAGACTGTCCAACTTTGATTAAATCATTATTCTAATCTTCTTCATAATGTGCTTAAATCCTTTCAATAATAATAAATATAGAAAAATAATAAATGTAATAATAACAATAATGAAAGTAGAATAATAAATTTACTAATAATAATAGAGTTGAATAAGAAATGTAATAACAATTAAAGTAAAATAAGATGTAATAACAATAATAACAGTGTAAAGTAGTAAATGTAATAATAATAATAATAATAATAATAATAATAATAATAATAATAAGAAGAAGAAGAAGAAGTATCTGAGAGTTCTGCTATGTTTTTCTCTGGAATTCCTTGTCTTCATCAGTCCATGTGATCTTGCTGTGAGCTGAGTGTGGGCAGATTCACTTTGCCAGTCACCCACATACATCTGTCAGCAGTTGAGAAAGCTGCTGTTTTGGACAACAATTACCCGAATCCCCCACAATCCTTCATTTTGAGGTCCAAAACCCAGGCTGCCTATACTCTAGGAAGACTGAGATTTTTAGTGGCAGTCAAGAGCCATGTAAGAGGTGAGGGAGGAGGAGAGGAAGAATGTGTGGGGCATTAAGAGAAAGCATGTGCAGGGTGAGGGAGGAGAGGAAGCACACACGTGGAGCGAGGGAGAAGGAGAGGAAGTGTGTGCAGGGCAAGGGAGGAGAGAAAGCATCCACAGGGTGAGGGAAGAGGAGAGGAAGCACGTGTGGGGCAAGGGAGGAGGAGAAGAAGCACACACGGGGCCAGGGAGGAAAAAAGAAAGGCATGTGTGGGGTGAGGGAGGAGAGAGCTGAGTTGCTGTGCAGAGAAGTGAGGGTCTTGGCGGGAAGGCGTAGAGCTGAAAGAAAGAAGCCCTTCTTTCAGCCCCACTTCTTCTCGCAAGGACCCTCACCCGAGTATAAGTCGAGGGGGGGGGGGCTATTTCAGTCTAAAAAAGAGCTTAAATACTCAGCTTATACTTGATACATGCGGTATGTCATCTACCAGCCTTTGTCTGCTCACCCATAAAAAAATCATGATAACCATATATAAGAAACTAGAGATGATGCAGTCCATCCAATGCGATTTTCTGAATTGGTGCCCCAAATAGCCTCAAGAACAGGCATGAAAACCAAGACACCAAGGCTTTTTTTTTTTTGGACTGTAATATGTAGCCATTTAACTTGGTGAAAATGATTGGTAAACTAGACTAGTGCTTCTCAGACAGAAGGGACTGGCAGTTATTTTTTCAATGTGCAAGGAACTGGCACCATATTTGTGCCCACTAGCTACAACTGTTTCTTTCTATCATGGAAACCTGCCAGGAACCACCATCCAATTGCTTAGGAACCAACACCAGTCCAGAAACCACCATTCTGAGTTGTACTGGTCCTGAATAAAGAGTTCTGGAAGCTCCTCGAAGGCAGATGTTGTATAGTGAGAAACTGTCAGAGTAAGTACTCACAAACAATAACAAGCAAACATGTTTAAAGTGTAGTATCAGATGCATTTGGTTGATATGAAAGGAAAAACTATTTGAAATATTAAGAACAAGGTAGATGTCATGTTTATCACAACTGAGAAATGGTATGGACATAACTGGAACATTTTAGATAACTGAGAGCAAGAGTCATCATTTGGTGATAAAAGCAACAAAAAACCCCGAGTATACCAGATGGGTAGGTCTAGTAGCTATGGCAAGGTCACTGGACAAGACTCATCCAGTGACTCAATACTTCCAAGAATAAAGTATGAGACAGATGCGAAAAACTGTTGATTAATGCCCAATGAAAGAGTATGCTGGAGTTTAGGAGAAAAATGAGCACACACCAAATGATAATTTCTTGTTAACCATAGGTGACTGGAATGCAAAATTACAACATAATCAAAACTTGTAGAAAA